CAACGCCGGCGCTGTTCAGTGGCGATCCGAACCGCGCAGGCCCCCCGTGATGACCCCTGGGCTCCGGGCGCGCCCCCCTCCCCCTCCCCAACCACTGTGGGGGGGAGAGAGAGAACACTGTTGGCCTCCCACATGTAACCTCTGAAAATAGACCACATGAGAATAAACTATCTATTACGAATGGAAAGGAAAAGCGTCTCACGTTCAACTGTAGAAAACGGTTCTCTTTTTTTTTTTTTTATATCCCCCATTTCACACCTATAATGTTATAATGTGTCTCAGATGAAGCAGCCTGCTCTTACATTTGCAGAAAGGTTTTACAGAATGTTTTTGTCCCTCGCTGGTTCATCCTGAGGAAAAAAACGGCTCAGCGTCCCATAAAGACGTCTTATCGAGAAAGGGCGCCATGAGATTTACTATTACTACTCTGACACAACATGCACTTTTTAATTAGATCATTTGAATTTAAATCTCGAGACATTCTATTTTGCAATGCTTCAAATGTCGTTTAAACGTTTATTTTATTAAACAGGAGAGACTATTTCAGGAATATCCAGAGACCTTCGGCTTCTTCAACCACAGACTGAAAAATTCAACAGTTGGACATCTTTATTCTCCCATCAGTGCTTTCTGTGCTATTTAATCCTTTCCCTCTATTTTCCTGCCACTTTTCAATGTTCTCCCTTCACACCTACATACTCAGCCCTCCTCCTCCTCCTCCTCCTCCTCCTCCTCCTCCTCCTCCTCCTCCCCCCTCTCCACTCCCCCATCCACCCATCCATCCATCCCATTTGGTAGTACTCTCAATGGAACACTTGGGCTATTTATAAAAGCATCAAAGCCCACAGCTTCCAACACTCGGCCCCCGGCGGGAAAGAGGGGAAGATGGAGAGGGAGGTGGAGGAATGGCAGGAGGAGGAGGAGGAAAAAACTGAGATGAACGTGGAGGGAAAGACCGAAAAATGAAGGTGTGGGGCAAAGAAAGGGGGGGGGGGGACAGAACCATGGGGAGAAAATGAGGAGGAGAGAAAAGACGGAGGGAGTGAGACAGAAAAGAGGAGAAATCAAGGAAAACAAAGAGTGCAGGATGGAGGAGGTGGAGGAACAAAAGACTGGATGAACCAATCTGACGCTTATCCTTCACATCAGTGGTGTTTGTGAGCAAGTCTTTCTGCGTTTAATGTTTTCCCGCATGAATAACCGCTTCGTTTTTTGTGCATGTGTGTGTGTGTGTGTGTGTGTGTGTGTGTGTGTAGGAGGCAGGTATTCGATCCGGAGACCTCCCGCCCACGCGCGTCGAAGTTGCAGTAGCACCTGAGCGGCGTTCGCCACCGCCAACGGCCGGCGATGTTTGCAAAGCGTTCGCTAACGCGTTTGAACCCGGACGGGCGGATGAAAAGGAGGAGAAAACGCTCCGGCAGAAGCCGACTGCCACAGACGCCCATTTCCATGAGCATTTCTCCTGCTTGAATAGATGCCTTAAAGCACCCCCCCCCCGTCTCCCCCGTCTCCCCCCCCCGGCTTTCTCATGCTCCTCGTCCATAATCTCCTCCTGCACAAAGGATCTCACCCACCACCTCTCTGCTCGGGTGTCAGTCAAGCGTAACTTTCTCATTTACTGTCAACCTTTTCTCTGATTGTTTGCAGGATTATTGTCCTCTGCCTGCAGGAACCGATCACTTGGGCTTTTTGCTCAGTCCTCTGATCTTTCAAATCAGGGATCCGGCACAGCTGTACAGCTGTTAAGTCTTGACGGCATCGTCGCCAACGGCGCGGCGCGTTATTGTCAGCACACGAAGGCCTCACATAAAAGGATTATATTTGGGAGGCTGAGCAGAATTGGATTAAATACACGATTGAGAGTCTCATCTTTTTCTGCCCTAATTTATCGCTCTTTTTTTTTTTTTGTTTATCTCGTACTGCATGTTCCGTGTGCGCCACGCTGCACGTCACGTCGCGTGACGGCGCCCGACCAGAGAGGAACCCGCGCTTTCAGTGCCGTGTCTCTCAGAGGACATGTAACACGCCTCTCGTCCCCTCCGTGTCTCCCCGTGTGCCGGCCAGCAGCTGCTTCCGGGGGGGAACCTTCAAGGAAATCACATGTGACCATTCTCTCTCGACTTCCACCCCCACTTCGTCTTCCTCCTCCTCCTCCTCCTTCTTCTTCTCCTTGCACACACCGAAACCCACACTCATTAAGAACACGCGCTCATTTAGGAACACAAAACCGATCCCGTGGAAGCACTACAGAGAACCCACAGATCTGCACCAGCAGGCATTAAGGAAATGAAGAGCTCACCGGCTCATTAAACTGAGCATGACGAGCGTGCGCGTTCAACACTTTATGAGTGATTCTCGCCCTTTTCAGATGCGCAGCTTGCAGGCTGCTACTTCCCCCCCTTCGGCCCATTACGACGTGCTGTTCGTAGCCGTGGCGAGGAGCGGCTGCGTAAACTTACACAACATGCAAAACGGGGCCAGTATGACATCTGGGTTTCACTTGCATGTTGCCGTTATAACATCGTTATTAAATCGACAGAAGTGAATATACAGTTTCATTGTGACGAGAAGGTGAGAAACGTGTGTTCAGACTCTGAACGATGCGCTTTCTGCTGGTCAGCTTACATGTGACCACAGACGGGACGTGCGGCGCTCTACTCGTAACAGCGGCTTTTGTTTGCTGTGTTGTGGAAATACTCTGCAGTCAAACGAGACCCTGCGATTTTTTTCACGTCAGTCAAGGAAGGAGGTATAAGTCACAAGCATGAAGTGCCGACTCTCCACGCCGCCACATCCTCTCCGGGGTAAACGTTCTACCACAAGAGCTCTCCGAAAGGCGTCCCGAAAGGCGCCCGCTCGCGCGCCCCGGGCCTCCTCCCCGCCGGGTCTGCAGCCACGACCCGCACCGCCCAAACGCCGGGAGGTCAAACGAACGCCGGGCAGCAAAGCAAAACGCCGCCGTAATCTATTTTCGCACTTCCTTTTTTCATCTACCGCGACGAGGCAGAACGAAGACAAGGAGGAACTAGTGTCACGACGCACGCCAAGCTCATCTTATCAGTGGAAGGAACCCGTTTCAACTCATCTACGACTAAACGGGCCGACGGGCGCAGTAAATTTGCAGCAAATCGCCTCTCACTCAAGGACGAAAGCCCCTTCATAAACCCCGAAAAACAACGGGCGTGACATCGCGCCGCTTCTCCCACATCCTGTTTGCATTATTAACACAACACAAATATAGAAACAAGTGATATGAATATTTAATACTGCACAGACCCAAGAGGCCAGGAGGTTGATCTCAATTAACTCTCGACTTAAAGTGTGTGCTTGACTGCGAGTGTGTGTCTGTGTGTGTGTCTGTGTGTGTGTGTGTGTGTGTGTGTGTGTGTGTGTGTGTGTGTGTGTGTGTGTGACCCTCTCTCCCCTCTCTCTAAGGAAGTGATGCGCTGTTCCAGGCGGACAAATGAGTCGGAGGGCAACTGAGTGCATCCTCACACACCTGATAAGTCTCTCCCCATCTCACCCACACAAACACACACACACGCATGCACGCACACGCATGCACGCACACGCATGCACGCACACGCACGCCAGAGCTGTAGACCGCAAACTGTAGGGACCCCAACACCTGCAGCCGCGCCCCTTCCTCTCCAGAGGCCCCCCGGGGGCCCCTGCAGTGTCTAAAGGACACCATTGACCCGCTATACAAACACACACACACACACACACACACACACAGACGCACAATTATCGGCTAACCCACTACTGTGCCGAGCACCTCCGTTCTACAGCACGGAGACGCGTCTGAATATTTCCCTGTTGCTAGGAGACGTAAAAATCCTTGAGCACGTCCAGTTGGCTGTTGATACGACAAAGATTTCAGGCAAATTAATTGAAAAAACACAAAACAAACACAAAAAAAAGCTTTTGTGGACTGGATGTTTCTCTCTTATAGTGATTCATGTGGCAACACGCCGCCTCTGTCTCTCTGTCATGGACACACGGAGGGAAGCAACGCAGAAGGGAAGTTTCTGATGACAGAAAACTCGTCTGTAAAGACGACCTTTAACCTCTGGCTTTAGTTTCGCTTTGTCAGTGTCGTTCGTTAACGCTTTTCCTACTTTTTGATAAGACAGCAGTTTCATGCTGACTCACTTCCTTCTACATCCTTGGTCACCTTCCAACTATCTATCGATGCCTTGAAACTACGCCTACAGTTTGCTCCAAAGTCCGGCCTCCGCTTCCAGACGGGCTTCTGTTCTCATCTGGAAGGCCTCTAAAATCCACCACTGCACTTTTCTTAAAATGAAAAAGGGTTCCGAACACACGTCCGATGTATATTTACGATATGAAGGAAACCAGTCGTCCGTTCTTTCTTGTCATCAGAACTCGTGATCGGAGCTTCCTGGTATTGTTCTCTGTTTGTGTGGAGCTATTCAAATATATCCGACTATTTTACACTGTGATGCTTCCGATGATTGACACCCTCATTCAACACCAGAACCCACCAGAACCGACAACACTGGATAAACAGCGGAGCACTTTTCTTTGAGGATTCATCGTCGGCCAAGACGTTGAGCTCAATTTTTGGAAGAATTTGTGACTTTTGACTGTTAGCGATCGCAGCTCGCAGCCACGAGCAGCCTGGAAGGAAAAATAAATACACAAAGGCGTTACCTGAGATGGTTTAAGGGAAGTGCGTTAAAGGAAATAAACACAGAGACCGGCGTGGAGAGGTAACAAAAGGGAAGCCGGTAAGGGAAGGAAAGGAGGAGACGAAAAAACGGATCGACCGACGAAGACTGAACGGGACAGAAAATGAGAAACGAGTGTGGAATTAACCACCTGGGGAAGTTTAACCGATTATAAAAGAAGAAATAAAAGAAAGGAACTGAAGGATGTTTCCCTGTATTACTTTCCAACACATTATAAGTAATGCATAATACAAAACAAAAGAGTGCGAGTGTGTGTCTGCCGGAGTGCGCGTCTCGTCCACCTACCTTGACACTGGAATCCCTGCTTGCCAAAACCCCTGCAGAGGGAACACACACACACAGAGAGACCGGGTTGGACAATGTACAGGAGCGCACGTGTGTACACATTTGCATTGAATGTCAAACACCGTCTGCCATTTGTGGGCAGCGCTAGAGAGGCGCACGCGTTCAAAACGCACACAAACACGTGCACGAGATTATTGTGTGAACAATAGAGTGTGCACCAAGGTCAACACACATAATCTTCTTTTCGGCAGGGCTGCACCTCCCCCCAGGGCAAAATGGTCAACCACACCTGGTGCATGGGGCGGGGAATGCTGGGATACCTGCATGTGCACGCTAAGTGCACACACACACACACACACACACACACACACACACACACAGTCAGCCCTGCTCATGCTCAGGCCGTTGCTACAAATAGATGCTCTCTAGAGGTGTGAAATCACTCATTTGTCTCTTCATTATGCTTATTGACCCAGATAGACGGACCGATGGAGGGTTTGATAAACAGGTCAATTAGGCAGGTTGCACAGGGCTCCTCTGGTACACAAGCGTTACACTCGCAGGGACACACACAGGGGGGCTTTTAGGTCAAATCATTTGGCCATTCACAAATTAAGAAGCCCATTTCTGGAGTTAAATAATGCCCATTTTGGGAATAGTGCACAGAGCAGATAATAATAAACGTGACAAATTAGGCCAAACTAAAGCCGGGAACCTAATTTAAACACCAAGTCCCCTCCCTGCACGGTGGAGGCTGGTGGGGGCTGCACGGTGGAGGCTGTGGGGGCTGCACGGTGACGCCTGGGGGGGGGGCTGCACGGTGACAAGTCAGCACAGGTGACTTAGAGGAGGAAATGAAGAAAGAAGTGTGCTGAACTCTCTCACATCTGTACCTGCTGCCCACCAACAAGCCCGACTGGCACTCAAGTCAATGTTTGTTTGGATCTGTGCAACCAGTGCAACCAGTGCAGCCAGTGCAGCCCCCCCCCCCTACACACACACACACACACACACACACACACACACACACACACACACACAGGTCTTTACTCAAGCTTAGTGATGTAACACTCTCAAGCAACACAACACAGCCATTTTGTCTTTTTCACGTCAATATCTCTCCCCACTTTTCTCATTTCAATCATGAATCAATTAAACTCGCCCCCCCCCGCCCTCCCCCTCCCTCCCGTGCGTGCGTGCGTGTGTGTGTGCGCGCGCTCTCACCAGATGAAGTCGGTGCAGTGGCTGCAGAAGGTGGGCTGCTTGAAGAAGCGCGCGATGAATTTGTGGTCCTTCACCTCGTGCACGTTCTTCTGGCGCAGGGCCCCCTGGCGCGCGAAGCCCCGCATGGGCTCGCTGGGTCCGTCGTCCCCGTCGCTGCCGTTGCCCGCCGCCGCCGCCGCCGCGTCCGAGTCCGCCATTCTCCGGCCGTGGGTCCGCTGCGTCTCCGCTCCACCTGGCGAAAAGGTGTCCGCTCCGGCGCGCGCGTTCGGAGAGGTGTTCGGGAAGAGAGGGGGGGGGGGGGGGTTAGGGGAAGGGGGCCTAGGGGGGGAAGGGTCAGCGTCGGGTAATTTTGTTTTGGGGGGTTTCGGTTGTTGTTGTTGTTGTTGTGTGGGTGTAATAACGTGGACCTCAGTGGACGAGCTGCCGCTGCGCTCCTCGCTGTGCGCTTCCTTCTTTCCCTCTGAGCGCGCACAGTCCGACGACCACGAGAGAAGGAGGGAGGGGGGGGGGGAGAAAAAAAAAAAAAAAAGGGGGGGGGGGTTTCCCTTTCTCCACTTTCCCGGCCCACCCAAAGGCGACTTAAAGATAAAAGCCCGTTATCTCTCTGTGGACCGAGGGGCCGCTTATTTCTGGAGATTTCACTGAGGGAATTCTCTCAAACCGAATTGGGGGCTCAGATATCTGTCTTATGAGATATGAACATATTCTGACTGCTGCGATATTGGTATTATCCTGAAAATGAAATCCCAGACAAATCAGTTTGCTTCATCACATTGCTGCCTCTAGGAAGTTGAAGTTATTGCTGTGTCTTCATACGTGTGTGTGCGTGTGTGTGTGTGCGTGTGTGGCTATTGATTAACAATGACAACAATGACACTTTGAGCTGAGCTCAACAGAACCTCTAGATGGAGGATCCAGTGTCTCCATGGATTCCTCCTCATTCATTTGTTGCGTAGATAAAGTAAAGCAAGAGATATGTTAGTGTGGACATATATATATATTTACCATGCGGATGCTGGTTCTATTTTAAAATTCACTTTAATCCGAAGCGAGTTATGCAAATAGCTGTGCAACGGCAGAATAATCGTCAGCTGGCAAACAGCAAACACAAGAGATGACGCTCGATGTTTGAAGTTGAAGGTGCTGGTTTCCAAAAAGAGAAATCTCCCGTTCGGGGAGCGAGGAAACCTGCTGGCAGGGAAAGCAGGCAGTTGGTGAGTCATGACTCATCTTAAGACGTTTGCTTTCAAAAGGATTTCAGAGGATCTTCCAATCTGCCAATTCTTGGAAGAACTTCATCTCCCGCTAAGTTCTTCAAGATGCGACGGCTGACGCGGTGGTCTTGGTGTCCCCCCTGGATGAGGGGCACACAATGTTGTTGCAGGACATTGACAATCTCCATCCCACACACACACACACACACACACACACACACGAGGTGGTTGAGGTTGGTTAAGCAGCACACATAACAGTGTGTGCAGCACGGCCTCGTCGATAAAAGGTTCGCCGTACATTTGGAACCTTTTCCTCCACGTTGCCTCCACATGGCAATGACAGATTTATGACCAACCTTCAGGAAACGTGTGTGTGTGTGTGTTGGTCTCTTTTTTAAACATGACTACAACATAGAACATGCTCTGACACAAACGTGGCCACTCAAGCGCACATTCCCTCACACACACACACACACACACACTCACAGTGGCACAACACAACCACTTCTACACCTGCACACACCGACACACACACAGACACTCTGACACAACATGACGACTTCTCCACCTGCACACACACACATACTGGCACAACACGACCACTTTGAAGCAATAACGCACACACACACACACACTGCACCTGCTCCCACACACTCTTTGTGGCAGGTACCAGCCGGTCTGTGGAGGGATCGTCCTGCTGTGTTGCACAGCCCACACGCGCACACACACACACACACACGCACACACAGGTATACAATAGTGTAGCCAAAGGTAGGAATGCAGCAAACTCACACCACATTTCCATCACTTACATAACTTTCATACGTCTTTATTGACTCTCTTCCTCCCTGAAGCTGCAGGGAGCTCATTCTTATGCAGATATGCACTCTCTCTCTCTCTCTCTCTCTCTCTCTCTCTCTCTCTCTCTCTCTCTCTCCCATTATCTCTCTCTGGCTGTGTGCACACATGTGTGTCTTCCTGTGTGCGTACTGTGTGCGCATGTTTGTAGCCGCGTGTTTGTGCGCGCATGCAATGTACGTTTGACACCTCCAGCAGCATAGATGGAGGGTGTGCGCCTGTGTGTGTGTGTGTGTGTGTGTGTGTGTGTGTGTGCTGCTATGAGGCCACGGGAGTAGCCTCATTACCCCCCCGGGTGCTAACATGATCATATTTTCTAGGAATCTGTTTGAGTGAGTCTCAGAAACACATACGGGTCGTCTCTGGATCTCCTGCTGTTTCTTGCCGAAACAGGTGGTGCTTGAGGGCACACACAGACGCACAAACGCGAACTCACAGGGCTGGTGTGCTACATGTGTCCTGAGTCATCACAGGAATTCAGCTTACACAACAGCTGTCTTCACGAGGGCAGAATCCGTGGCGGTGGCTCTTTCTCTTCCCAAAAGGTGTCTTTCTACATTTCTTTGAAAGGGACAATCTTCTCAAGGTTCTTTAGGAACTTTAACAACCTCTGTTGTACATCATGGCAGTTAAAAACAAACAAAAACACGACAGACATGTTGTACGGAAGACGCCACACAGATTGTCTCTCAGCTGTCTGAGGTGAACGTGAGAGGTTGAAGCATCAACGTGATGCTCGAGTGGCAACAAGTGCTGCAACTCCTTGATCTTTGAACATCAAGCGAGCGATGAGCAACCACAAAGAATCGAAGTGATCGCTGGTGACGCTGTGCAGCACGGTTATGAACCTTATGGAATACTGGGGGAGAGAGAGAGAGAGAGAGAGATGGAGGGAAATAAACAGGAGGGAGAATTCTACACCCAGCCGAGAGGCGATCTCCATCTCTCATCCAGCAAAACACACCCACACAGAACCTTATTATGACCTCCCTCTCTCTCTCCCTCTCTCCCTCTCTCTCTCCCTCTCTCTCCCTCTCTCTCTCAGTGTTGCACTCTAGCGGCCACATGTTGTGATGAATCTTTTTGCACTTTTTCTACCTTCTACCACCTTTACGCATGTCATCTTTTGTCTCATGGTTTGCATAAGAATGAACCTTTTTCAGTTTTTAGATTTGACTTAAAATGGCAAAAAATAAAGAGTAGTTGTTGAGTTGATTTTTATTTTATTTTTGTCATCAACAAGTGTTTGATTGTGTAAATTATTTCATAAATATGGGTTATAAATGTGTAGGCTTATTTATTTTTTAGTACATGAATTCATTTCATCATTTTACAACACACATGATATATAACTAGAGTGTATTGTCATTCTCTCACCACTAGGGGGCGCGAGAGCTGCACACTTGTTGCGCTCGTGCCTTGAAAACGTGACGCCTATAAGAGTTTGAAGGTCAAGGTTACAGTCTTTGAAAATAAATGTGTAATGTGACATTTACTTAATCACCAAAACAATTACATAATAATTCATTAATAACAATTCATTAAAGTTATTATTTTCAACCCGACCGGAGTGCTGGAAAAGTGGCTCCACCCGATCCTGTTTGACCAGAACAATGACATTAAATAAAGCGGTTACGTGTTGGGACTCTCCTGGTGTGACTGATGGGAGGTGCCGCTCCCACCTTGTAGTCTGTTGCGCCTGTATTGTTTGTACTAAGTTCCCTTCAGGTAAGATCTCCTGTTCTTTTACAGCTGACTGACATGCAACAGTTACGTGACATGCATGCATGTGTATGCAATCATGACCTTCAGCTGACACGTTTAGATTCAATAAGATCGAAAACGAATGGATGGCGTTAATCGTTTTAATCAGTAATTCTGTGTAATCATTTATGTTTTGTTGAAGGTTTATTTCCTTATATTCTCATATATAATATTCTCGCGCATCTCTCAGCAAGAAACAGAATCTTTTCATTCATCAAAGAGGGGAACACGCGGTTGTCACGCCAACGACGGCTCCTTTCCGTGCACCCGGCTGGAATCCAGCCACTAACATCTGTGGTGTGAAGACGTCACTTTTTGTCGTCGCAGCCCGTCTCCGTCATCACATCTTTGCGTTGCGTAAAATGACGAGCACATCCATCCATTTTCCTCCCATTTCCTGAGTTTGGGAGGGAACCACGGGGGAGAGTCGGGTTGCAGTAAACCGGGCCCAGCTTCCACCCGCCTGTCTCACTGCTGCGACCTCCCGATCCGTCGCCCGTCCCCTCGTCCCCCCGCTCGCTCGCTCGGTAGGCCGGGTAGGGAGCATCGCACCGCTCTGCGGCGGAGCGCCATGGCCCTCGGGTTGGGAGGCGGTGACCCTCATCGTAGACGAGCACGTGTCCGTGGCCTTCGACAAGTTTGACGCTTCCACGTCAAACGAAGGTTCATTACTGTAAATGGCTTCATAGATCCTCTTCTTCTGAAATGCTTAAATATCATAGAGAAGTGTCACTTCCTTCTTTCAGTGGCTTCACACAGCCAATCGACAGTCACGCACACGCACACACGCACACACACACACACACACACACACACACAACATAGGCATCATAGTACTTGACCAGCGGGCAGTTTGACAACGGGGACACGCTGTCATCACTTTCATTTTCTGTGTAGGGACACACTTTCATTGAAAAGCACCCACCTACGATGCATCAAATGACCTGAAAACCTGCACGAGTGTGCATGTGCAGACGTGTGTGTGTGTGTGTGTTTGCGTTAAGAGGTGATGGTATAGATGCACAACCACGCACACACTGAGGTGTTGAAAGAAGGTCACGTGACTTCACAAAACTGAGTCAATGTAAAAAAAAAAAAAAGGGGGGTCGACCACGGAGTGTGTGTGTGGTGTGTTTCAGTGTGGGTGTGTGTGGGTGTGTGTGTGTGTGCCCATTGATGGTGAGTTCGTGACGAGACAGCGTTTAGTGGAAAGATCAGATTGACGATTAATGAGTATGGTAATGTGTGTGTGCGTGTGTGTGTGTTCCTGTAAGCCGTTGCTTCTGAGGCTCAGCGGAGGTGCGGAGCCAAGATGTGGTCGCTGCGACACACAAGAGTCACACCGCGAAAGATAACGCGCACAAAGGTCAAAATGTGGATGAGGCCCTTTCCGTGAATTCAGATTATCTACCTGGAGAATTTTATTGTTTGCAGCTGGAAACAACAACGAAAGAAATACAACGCACCGTCGTCCTCAGACGCATGGCTTCCATCGTTCTATCTGTGCGCTCCGGTAGTTATAAGTTACACAAGTTCAAAAAGAACACAACAACAACAATAAAAATGCTTCCAAATCACAAATGAATAAAGAGCCAGCGGATAATTTAGCCGAAAGCACACAGCCTTCTCCTCATCGGGGGACAGCAGGGCGGCCGTTTCCACAAACTGCGAATGCTTCCTTGAAAATAACCCCGAATGAACTTCTAACAACGGATTAAAGGGTCGGGAGTGAAGACAGCGATCCGAGGGCGTGTTCTCGTGTTCTCTCACGCCCTCGACGCCATTAGAAGGGATTGAATTACAGACGGAATCCCGCCACAGTGAGTCACTCAAAAAGGACTGCGTGCTCGTGAGCTCGGATCAACGAGTGTGCATATTACACTTTTAGCCCGTGGCTTTTTTTAACATGTTCGGTGTCTTGCTCCGGGCCAGCCGGGGCTTTTCTGCCTCTGCGCCACGACGACCCCGCTTCATCCACCGGAGTTGGCGGGACGGCGTGTGGCGCTCGGCGCTACGATCAGCAGCTTTTTCCCACGAGCCTCCTCTTAAGTGCTTCTGCTAAGCGACGGTTCCATGGAAACCTTTCCAAGAAGCCTGACGTTCCCCACTTCTCCTCTGGTTTTTCACAATTTCTCGCTAAAACCGCCCTCCGGGTCGATTTCCATTTTCCGTGGAAGTCTTTTCAAGCGGGAACCCTCGGCAGCAGCCGAGTCAAATCGGTTCATTCTAAAAAAATTTCACCACAGCTCTTCAGAGCAACGTGAGCCAGCTGCATCGGCCCGTTGTCATGGCGCCACACACGGCATCACTTTCATTTTCAGGTTTCTCAGAAAAGGAGCCTTTCCAGGGCAGTGTGTCCGCTGACAAAGACAGACAGACAAACTATTTGTAGTTCACGCACAGGGACACGCCCGCGTAGGCGCAGACGCACAATAACGGCAGGCGTGCTGCAAACAAGTCCCTCCGCTACGTGGCGGCCGCCCTCTAATCACAAGCCGCCCCGGTCGCGCCGCTGAATCTCTGCACGCAGCTTCTTCAGCTGTTTCCATAGAAATAGGAGGGACGGCAGGAAGCTGCCAGTCAAAAGGCCTCGGAGCCTCGTCCCGGCTTACCGGAGACCTTTAGTCTCCGAGGAGGAAGGTCGGATTTTAGTTTCGGTTTCAAACTGAAATCCAGTTTCAAACCGAAAAAAAAGGGAGTTATAAAAAGGGAGTTTGGGAAACAGGCTGTGTGACCTCTGACCTCTGAAACTATCCACGTGACACACAGAGACAATGGAAAGAGGAGGCCGGGCCGAGGTCATGCTGAATGCTGACGGAACAGAAGGAAACTCGAGCAACAACTAAACACGGCAGACAATTTGTTGCAGCAACAACAGACGTGAGGATGAGGATGAGCTTCCTCATGATTACCAGCTGTGCCGTTATTTATCCAACCGCGTGACTCAGATTAGTCTATAATCTCATTGTGTCGTAGACGGCACGACGGCGCCGATTGTGTCATTCATTCTTAACATTGTTTAAGCGTGCAGTCATCACGAGCCTGAGGTGCAGTTTACGATCACCAGGAACATCTTCCTGAACAGCCCGTGTGTCTGGTAGTTAATATTTTATTTTCAGATTCCAATTTAACCCTAAAATATAGGAAATATCAGACCTTATTTTCAGAGAAACGACTGACGGAAGTCATACGCAGGACTTCCGCATAAAACGCCGATTTTGGAGTAATCTGGTTCACCGTTGGCGAGAAGTGAGCAGCAGCTGAACATTTGTAAATATCCCCCACAATGCAACTGACACGGAGCAGGTTTCCGCTTCTTTTCCCACGAGTTAAGTTCTTAATCCTTCCTCCACAAGGCTTTTGGTGACCAAAAGGCAAACGCGACACATCAGGACATCAGGAAATGCCAGAATAAGATAAACCATTCAAGCTGAAACACAACCGACTGTGGCTCCTCTTCCAACAACAGGCCCAGAGTGGTTCGCTAGTTGATAACTTAATGTCTTAACTAGCGAATGTTTTCATATTTGTTTACTTAAGCATAGTGCTCGGAACATATTCTGGAGAACAATGACATTCTTTTATTAATCAACAGACAAGGAACAAGGAAATGTGTTCTGCACATTAGCAGGAAATAAATCCCTTCTTCAAGAAATGGTTTGCGAATGTTCTGCCAGACATTAGAGACCAAATCACAGAGCGAGAACGTTTGAAGAGTAAAGGAGCCCGTTTACGTGAAAGGGGAACCTGCCGCAGGGTTTTCAGCTTTCAGGAAGAATCACCTGCCAAAAGGTGACTTTTGATGCCGAAATGTTAAGGTTGCGCAACAGATAGGAGTTTATTTCTCTGTGCTTCCTGGACTGTGAATGAGAAAGCAAACGTTTGGAGAACCTCCTTACAATAATCAGCAAGGATTCGGTGAAATGCAGCTTCTCACTTCCCTGCGGCGCTACTTCCACTTTCCTCCCGACTCTTTGACACAACTACGGGAACCTGCTTCTCCTCTCTCGGATCCACCCTGACAAAAGTCCTCATGCTTCACCTCCGGTCTTCTTGTTCATCCCAGTTGACACCAAATACTGCTTCACGACAACAAGCCACGCAAAATGAAACTGTGCAACACACACACACACACATAATAAAAGTTTATACAGGGCGTCTCATGAATTAGCAGTTGGTTTAGTGCGCCAGAATGTGTTGAACTGCTCATATAACGATTAAGTGTGCAGCGGGTTTGTTTACGAGAGAAGAACGGTTTCCTGTAAGCGTACAGGTGACCGTGCTCACCTGTGGCCCTCGGCACACACAAACGAAAGTAAAAGCTAAATGAAAGTGGACACACACACACGCACACACACGCACGCTTCATCATGTAATGTAGAAAACGAAGATCGAAGGTACGATAACGTATCTCAGCAGATCCCGGCAATCAAAACGGGAAAAAACACAGCAGCGGGGACCATGTGTTTCTTTACACGCAGCCTTTAAAGTGCGGAGCGGTGGAACACCGCGTGCTCCTGCAGGGCCGCGAGCGGCGCGTTCTGCCCGTTCAGCATTCGTCACCCATCTGTTGCGTATCAAGGATACGCCGCTCTCGTGCAGAAGCAGAACAAGAGAAGAGCTTTAATGCAATACGTCCACGCTGGCTGGAGCAACAAATGAAACTCATCCCAGATGAGCTTTTCTACAGTAGTGTGCATTTTGTACATTAATGCATGTGTGTATTTTTTGTTGGACACACACGCACACACACACGAGCGCGGCTCTGTGAGTAGACACAACCGGCTCTGTGATGCTGCCTGTGTGTGTGTGTGTGTTTCAGTCTCTTGCTTCTCTCCCTGTTCCATAGAAATGAAACTCATGGCGTACGCGCACCTGCATACACACACACACACACACACACACACACCCCGTGCAAAATGAGAAGCACGCAAAACACACGCTAAACAACATAGTGCAGTATGACACAATATCCATTTAGAATATGTCCGTCATGCACAAAATGCATGAAAGACAGACATGCAGTCTGTGTGTGTGTGTGTGTGTGTGGCACTCATCTGGGCGTATTCTGCATGCAGCCACTTGTGCGTTGTGCACATAATAACTACAAGAAAGATTTGTTTAGATTTCATTACAGGCGTCCGCAATTATTTGCTTATCACACACCTGGTCTCGACCCCCCCCCCACCCCCCCACCAGACGCACACGTCCACATTAAACGTGTCCGTGGTTTGCAGGAGCGCGCGGTGTCAACACTCTTTCTGTCCACCTGCAAACACACACATTTTAAGCATCCCATGATGGCGCTGGACTGATCTCAGTGCTACATGCCGGTCTCTCTGCCTCTTTCAGAGGAAAGTCTGCAAGCTGACCGGCAGGCTTTCCTTAACTTTCACTTTGCCTCCCTCGCTCTTTTGTAACATGACTTTTCTTCAACAGGCTCGTGCAGACAAACAAGTTAATGATACCCGTGTGTGTGTGTGTGTGTGTGCGCGCGTGTGTGTGTGTGCAGACATGTAAAAGGATCTTCATGACGAGGAGTCGGAGCATGTGACGTTTTTGACGGGCGGGTGCTGCGTGTTTAGCGGCCTTGGGAGGCCTCGCTGTTGATGGATGGATGAGACAAACGACGCCAATGATACCACAGAATAGAAGACGAATGGGACGCAAAGGGGGGGAAAGTCTGATGAGAGTAATCAGTAGAACGGCCGTCAGGGTGTCACAACGCGGGGCCTTTTCCGGGGGGGGTGGGTGAATCAACCCCACGTGGAGCCCCAGAGACGCTTTTCATTGGAAGAGCTCGCCGTTTACACCAAATGAAGAAGCTTGTTGATTCGGTTTCACTCGAGGCCCGAGTCATCTGATTTTTTTTATTTTTTATCCTGACCGAGATCACAGTGTTTCCCTTTTCTGCGACATGAAGTCACACGCGAGTGCTGCTGGAAAGACGCACCTGACGCTCACAACGCTGAACTCAATGTCGAATGAAAAAGAGAGACAACGACAAACTGAGCCAATCCTGTGCGGCCTGCAATGACATTTGCAGCGTATTAATAGAACGTGCACACCTGCTCCTGTTATCCCTGGTGCTGTGTATTGTTTGTACTAGAACTAGTCAACAACAACAACAACTTCTTGTTTTAGATGCTCGCCTTTTTCACTACGAGGCTTCTGCGCTTTTTTTCTTGAAATATCTAAAAGTGACGACCGCGTCGAGACGAGCAGGGGGGCGGGGCGTCCGATCCGAGATCAGTTTCACTTTCGTTTCGGGGAAAGCAGCTGATGCGACTGGGAGGGGGGCGGGGCCTCAGCGCGGTATAAAGAGCGCGGCCGCGGCGCCGGCAGGACACACGCAGACGCTCTGTTCCTCACGCGCGCACAGCCCGCAGCTCACGCGCGCACGGAGGTAAAAAAGAAGAAAAAAAAAAACAGGAGATCGGGTGCGAGCTTCGCGCTGTGGACTCACGCACGGACCTTTGAGGGCGCGCGCACTGCAGTGAGAACTAAACGGTAAGGCTGGAGCGGTTCGTCCTCCGGTGCTTTGGCGCATCCGCGGGCCGGGTACCATCTGGGTTTTTGGGGATTATTTTTTTTACCTTGGACCCTCTGCGGTGGAAGCACACATGTGCAAAGTATGACGTTTTACTGGGATTAAGATTATTATTAAATAATAATAGTTAATAATAATAACAAAAATCCGATTCTTATTTGAAAATCGTTTTCTTGACTGGCAGAAAGAAATCTGTTAATCATCACCAGTTGTTTTCACTGGTAACGCAAGCTTTTGGGGTCACTGACATGGAGCTACACACAGAAAAAAGGTGAATAACACACAGGATAGTTCATGTGTGTGCAGAGAACAAACAGCCGTCTGGTGTAAATTGTATCCGGCTGATGAGAACCTGCAGAACCTCATCTGGGTCCACATGTCACCTGTCACAGTACGGTCAAAGTGACACCTTTATTAAGTGTGTGTGTGTGTGTGTGTGTGTGTGTGTGTGTGTGTAAAGTGATCTCAGCGTGGCTGACTGTATTTTGGGAGGACGCAGACTCGTCATATTAAACTAATAGCACTCCATGGAAACTTTCTTGCCTCCCACATCTATTTCCTCTCAGAGCCTCTTCCTTAAAGTTGTGTGTCATTGTTGTCATTGTTGTGTACACAAACAGTTTCTGGACAGATCCTAACGTGTTCTTTCTCGTCTCCCCCAGGATGTCAGCGTGGTGGTTAGAGATGGGAGAGGGTCTGGGGCCGCTCTCCCCTGTAGGATGGTAGCCGACAGCACTGTGGAAGGCCATGACAAGACCTTGTCGTCGTCGTCATCATCATCCTCGTCATCCTCCTCCTCATCATCGTCGTCGTCGCCATCATCCCCGCCCCCCCTGCTGTCCGGGCAGCTCGCTCTCAGGACCCACCCCAAAGAGTCGGAGCACCTTCAGCGGCAGGCCGCTGCGGATCCCGGCCCGGGCCCGAGGTCGGCGTCCGTCCCCTCCGCGCACCTGACCCACTTCCCCACCTTCTCCTGCAAGGAGGACTGCAAGATCATCACGGAGACCGCGTCCAAGCTCGAGCGCAGCGCCTTCTACTGGGGCCCCTTGGGAGTGGAGGAGGCCCACCGCATGCTGCGGGACGCCCCGCTGGGCAGCTTCCTCATCCGCGACAGCCGGCAGAAGGACGTCTTCTTCACGCTGTCCTACCACGGCAAGAGCGGGCCGGTCAGCGTGCGCATCGACTACAAGCTGCAGAAGTTCTCACTGGCGGGCAACGAGCGCTGCTTCCCGACGCTCTTCGCCCTGTTGGAGCATTACGCCAATTCTCCCAAGAGGAGCCTGAGGTTCCCGTACAGGAAATGGAAGCCGACGCTGCAGGAGCTGTGCAGGAAGCGCATCATGGAGCTGTGCGGCGGCGGCGGCCAGGTGGCGACGCTGCCACTCACCCACGTGGTCCAGGACTTTCTGTTGGAGTTCCCTTTCAAACTGTGACCGATTTTAAAGTTTTCATGGCAATATTTTTCATTTCAACGAGGCAGTTTTCGCCCGGAAAACGGGATGGGTGTTTGTCGGCGGTCGAGAATGCTTCGCCATGGTTACCCTTTGAAGCGTCTTCCCGCTTGGTGCCCGAAAGCTCCAACGTACATCACGAGAGACATCCACGGGCGGCCTTCAGCCGGACGCGGCGCGAGCTTTCATCGAACGTTGCCTCCAGCGGCTCCACCCGCACGCGGACGGAGCGCCTTCGGGTCTCGCGGCTGCGGCAAAAGTTGGAAAAGGCCGCACGGAGAGAAATCTGCGCGCACGCCGTGTCGTCCTCGCCGACCCCTCCCCTGGGAACCGTTTTGTGGAGACATTTAAAAGCGGATTGTGGAAGGACATTGCGAGCTTCAGCCGAGTGGACTTGTTGGAGGCGGCCGAAGCCGTCGGGCGGCGGAACCGGCGGGATTGACCTTTTTGTAGCAGACTTTTAATACTCTAATGCTGTTGAATGTTTACATCTCACACATGAATGTTGATTAAATGGAATCGTACTGTATGTAGGAGGCTCAACTCCTCTCAGGCTGATAACCTGTTGGGTTATCCTTGGGTGACTCAGATACACAATAATAGTTAATATTATTTGAAATAAACTTATTTAAACTAACCATGCTGGACTATTAGTTACTTTTTTCAACTGAAGTATTGCTCTTTCCCCCCCGAATCACGGCCATGTGCACCAAGGGGAGGTCGGCGCCAACGGGGCTGGTGAGAGAGCGAGAGAGAGAGAGAGAGAGAGGACGGGATAAACACACCCTCTGAATCCGGCAGACAATAGGCCAGACAGACAGGAAGTGCGTGGCGTTGGCGTACTGTATCGTCACCACAGTGACTCATCGTGTAGGTTGAAGTGGCAGGTGGGCCGGGCCACACGGACGGTTACCCTTAGAAACACACACACACTTACAAGAAACCGGGGCAGAGGTGACACATAATGATTGTGTGTGTAATCTAATGTGGACCCAGGACACATCAAAATTTCCTCGGGAGGAAGTGGGAAATTCTTTTCAGGGTTGGCGGTTTTGACAGATGTGTTAGATCGAGGTCAGGGTTTGAGTTACAGCTCTTTTACATTTTGCCAGTTTCAGTAACGCGACGCCTGATACCGTACATCAAGGCAGCGTGACAAAGGGACTTTGTTCAAAAGAGATGGCTGACCTTCAAACCCGCGTCTCAACCACAATAGACTCGACACTCCGACCCATTTGTTTGACGTGAACCTCCCGGGCCACAAACTTTCACCGTGGAGCCAAATGCGGCGTGACGGTTTTCCATAATCTGTTCTTTACAAACTAAGCTCCTGTCAGAGGGGTGTGACGGTGTTTAAACAGGAACCCTAAACCACACCTTTTACACCTTCGTACAGCCAAGATGTCGCAGCGCTGCCGCAGGAACTGACGACACTTTCTTCTCGTCTCGACCGCAAGTTGAAGAGTTCAGCGGCATTCAAGGTGACATTGATTGCTCAATCTCGTCTGAATTGCGGAGTATCCAGATCGCAGCTGTCCCAAACACCAACGGCGAGGCTTTCCTCACGTTCTCGGTCCCCCTCCCCGCCATCAACGGTCCGCTTGTTTTGCCCGTTAGCCCTCTCCGCTATTGAGCTGAGCCGCGGCTAATTAGGCGAACAGCGCCTTCAAGATGGCTGTCAGCGCTATCTGCTAACAGCGCTAACGCGAAACACACAAAGTGCGGCAAACGCGGCGAGCTCAGCTCGGCCCTCGGAGGCGGGAGCCGCGACGTGGAACGCCTCGCGCGCCTCCTCGGGTAGACGAGGTGACCCTCAAAAGGTTTAAAAAAAAAATAAAAAAATAAAAAAAATAAAAAAATACTACAGAAACTTTAAACTGGTATCACCAGGAAGTTAAATGTTCTCAGTTTCATGGCGTTTGTCCACGTATGTGGCACCTTTTCAGACCGCAGTCTCATTTCCAACTTGAGGTTACAACTCCGACTAACCTCCACCTGATAGCTAACCCGGAATCCAACACTCAAACCAAACCATCTGTGATCTTTGGTGGGGATTTCTTTAAAAGTATTTATGTTCCTTTGGGGTCCGCATGTTCGCGCCAGACACACACACACACTTGAGTCATAATGAATATAACACTTAGTTTGATTCAGGTAAAGCCTGACTCGTTTGAGCATACAATTATCTCAGCTTGAGGAAGCGTCATTCTTTACTTCTCAGTATTCACTCCCGACTGTTATAAGAATTGGACTGTGAAGTAGGACCTCCTGTGATTGTGCTATCAGCCGATTTCGGTGGAACCTTCTGCTTCTGAGTTGTGAAACCAGAGCACGGACACATTCGACCCGATGACAGGAGGTCGGACCAGAACGAGACTTCGACTGAGGTGATCTTGAAGAAACCCTCAAAAAGGTAGAGATGTACATTTGATATGAGGGGCCATTAATGTCAGTGCGTACGAAACGGAACAACAGACCTGCACACATCTTCAAATCTGAAAGATCTCTGGATCTTATGCTGAGACTGCGGTTGAGCGCGCGCACACACACACACTCTGTAGCTGCAATACCAGGAACCCAGTCATAGGTTCACGCATAGGTTTATGACTTCCTTGAAGAGGAACCGCGGTAAAAGCAACACATAAGGACCACAAGATGACTGAGGGCCCCGGGAAGCATCGTAAGCAGCACCAGCAGAGGAAGAAAGTGTACACACAACGTCATCGCCGTCCCTTTTACACACACACACACAAGACAAACTGGTCACAAGCAACTACATACGTAAAGTTGTCCTTAGAAACTCACACGCCTACAGCTGGCTGTGTGTGTGTGTGTGTAGGGGGGGGGGGGCAGGTCATTAATCTCAGGTCAGGGGTGGAGGCCTTCACACACAGAAACCACTCAAACGAGAGCACACAACACGACTCGTGCAGCAGCTGCGCGGTTGTTAAGAAGAATAATTTATTGCAGTTCTCTTTATTTATTTCTCCGTTTCAGTTCATCAACAATAATTACAGGTTTAAAAGCCAAAAGCATTTACAGAGCATATAAACATATTACACACACACACACACGCGCACTACAATCAGAGACTTAATGGAAGCTTGACATGAGGTGTTAGCGGTTGCCGACGGTTACCGGGACACGCCGCCACGTTCCCATCGGATGCTGCTCTACGAATTGTGCCAAGCTCCTGCAGCACGCCAGTGATCATCACTATCGTCCTTCTGCTATTTACAGGAGCGAGACTCCAACACAGAACTGCTCTGAACCTGGAGATGACTGTACAGCCTTTAAAAAAGAAAGAAAAAGGTGATTAAGCGCATTAAGACTTGAGCTGATAAGATAACGGCACGGAAAAGAATAGCTGGAAAGCAAAAGGTGGGAGAGAAGAGGAGGAAGATAAAAGGATCAAAACAGATGAGATCTTATCGGAGGAATCGATCGGAACAGCGAGAAGTTGTTAATCTCTCTCCTCATTGGCCAACGCTGAAGATTATTGCAGTAAAGCTTTATTGAGCTGATTAGAGGAGCAGTGTCACTTTCGTTTCTGGTCCTCCCAGATTATAGACACAGCCGTGTGCCAGCCGGGGAGGACGATCCAACTCAAGCTCTGTGCTTCATGCTGATGAACCGGGTGGTTCATCAATAGTTAGATGGTCACCATTGTTCTCATCATCCACTTTCCCAAGGAAACTGAGCTCAGGTCAGTGCCCGAAGGGGAAACCGGCACATACATTCAACAGATGTTGGGGTTCCAGAGCTTAACTGCATCCCCCTACGAGGATGTCAGCACTTCATTTAGTCAACTTCGTATCCGTACGGCTGAATATATACAAACAATACCTTTTGTTTTCGCTGAGGCGGAAATGCTTCATGCAGAGAACACAGCGAATGATTCACTGCATCCGCTGTGTACCACTTACTCCCTCCACGTGGGTCAATCGATGGAAAGAGTGGAAATTAAAAAGCACATCCCTCCCTGGCCGTGCGGAATACTGTTGCATATCACTCACACACACACACACACACACACACACACACACACACACACACACACACACACACACACACACACACACACACACACACACACACACACACACACACACACACACACACACACACACACACCTGTGGGAGTTACTGCAAACGGGTCTGACAGGCAGAAGTTGAGAGGCACCGTCTGTAAAGCATGTTTGTACGTTAGCATAGAATGGGCCGTGAACAGAACATACGAGAGTTGCGTGTGTGTGTGTGTGTGTGTGTGTGTGTCTTGGAGCTGACAAACAATCGATCAGAATGAGTAGAAAACGTTGCTGGTTTGCGTGACTTTACACACGCTCACTAAAAACACAACCGGACGCACCCGAGCAAACAGAAAGCCGAATGTGCTTTAGGTCTTTTTGTGAGTCGTCCTCGGTCCTCTGAGAGTGAAAAGTCTGCCGGTCGCTACATGAAAACACTGCTTCCACGCTGCCGTGTCCCCCTGGTCTGCATCCAGATGTTTGTCTGTGTGTGTGTGTGTGTGTGTTTAATCCAGTTCAGGCGAGTCTGGGGTTTCAGTGCGTCTCTCCGTGTTCTCATCGCCTGTTTCCCGCGGCTGGTCTCCCGTCTCTGGAGGTGCGTCTTCTCCTTCCGCCTCCGGTTCCTCCTCAGTGGCGGTCTCCTCTATCGCCGCCCGCTCCTCCGCTCTCTGGAGGGAGTGCGTGGCGGGCAGGAGCCCCGCGCAGGGGTGGAGATGCGGCGAGTCGGCGGGCGGCAGCAGCGTGAGCGACTCCACGCTGAGCGCCTCGCCGTCGCCGTCGGTGAGGAGGGAGATGGTGGGCTGGGAGGCCGGCGTGAGGCTCGGGGAGAGCGTCTGGACTGGTGCCGAGGGAGCAGAGGAGAACAGCGTTACATCACCACCACCTCCACCTCCTTCCACTTCTCCGCCCGAGAGGGAGGACGGGGCGTGCTCCAAGAACGCACCATCATCTGGAGGAGAAAGGGAGGCAAGTGAACTCGGGAGGAAAACTCGTTTTAAGGATTCTCGCCGCAGTGAAATGATGTGGCTTCGTTCACGTTCATGTTCAGTGGTAAAAAGTGGAGCTTGCATTTAAAAACTAATCGTGAATTCACTTTGTTTAAGGTGTACAGTATGCAGGTACCGCACATGCACCACACACAGCAGCGTGTCCACCCAGCTCCTCCTCCTCCTCCCTTCGTCGCTCAGAGAGGGAGCCGATCCCTCCTGACGGGGGCGAGCTGGAGGTGCCGGGTGGAGACGGCGCACAAGAGACACAAGCAGCAGCAGCAGCAGCAGGTGTGTTAGTGGTTATGAACTACAAGGCACCGCGTCAGCATACTTACATGGTTAGAGTGTAAGGGCGCGGTGTGAAGAGACACAACAAAAGCAATAAACAATCATCAATGTCACATCCACAAGATCACCACCACCTTCCTCTGCGAGGGTTTGGCTCTTTGTCGAGGGAGGCGGCTACAAACTGCTTCCTCTCACGTGACCGATCGGCCCTGTAGTTCAGAGACCTCTCGACGTCTGAGGGAATGTGCTGTGTGTGTCTGTGTGTCTGTGTGTGTGTGTGTGCGCTACCTGTGGGGCTCTGAGCTGATACAGTGCTCGCAGTAACAGAGTCACATCTTCCTGTGCTCCCGCTCCCACTGGAGGGAGTCGAGGGGGAGGAGAGGGGTGAGGGACTGTGCTGCGACGCACAGTGAGCCACTGCAAAGCCTGGACACACACACACACACACACACACACACACACACACACACACACACACACACACACACACACACACACACACACACACACACACACACACACACACACACACACACACACCGTGTCAGTCCACGGCTGCGAGAGGATTTCACCCGACCACATCGGCCCCGAAGGCGAGTCAGGATTACACAGTGGACACATCGCTCATGTCCCTAAGTTTGTTAAATGCGATGGTTGTAAGAGAGAAATTTAAAATGTGGCTAAACAAACTTGAAAGACGCCTACTGATTCATCCAAAGCGCACTACTAATATTTACAAAGGCCGACTTCTGTTGAGTGGCCATAAATAAACCGACCGGACTCAAACATGAGCTCGCTTTCGTTTTCGGATTTCTGACAGACAATTTCCAGCTCCCGGGAACGGAGGCAGGAAGCGCGCTCGCCGCTACGTCACCTGGTACTTTGTCCACCGAGGCGAAGACCGGTCTGCTCGCCGTGGGGTCGTTGGGCGCCCGCCTGGACTGCTCGTAGAACCGGAAGGGCAGCGCGCTGGGCGACGCGTTGGCCGGCTGACCGAAGCCCAACACCTCCGACGCACCAGGCTGCACCGGCAGGTCCAACAGGGCTGCAGGTGGGAGGGGACGGGGGGGGGGGAGGGGGACAGACACAGCGTCTCCGCACGTAAATCTTCAGGACTCGGTGTGAAATTGCAAAGCAAATGGACTCAGACACGGACTTCCTTCCTTAAACTTGTGTTAGTTCTCAGGAAAGAATCTCACACTGTGTTTATTTGGGAGTACATTTCTAAAGAAGCAGAACATCGGGAAGGGAAGCGACTGATTAATTCTTTGTTTACAGTACCAAGGGAATGAAGAAGGAGGAGTTTCAAGGGGTAATAACCAAAGAATTGACTCACTAGTTCAGGGAAAGTACTTTCTTTGAAGCTCTAATTAAAAAGAAAAGCTCACTTCTGCTGGAGAGTAGTTCTCCTTTTGTCAACAGTCGAAAAAGGCAGATTTTTGATTTGGCTTTTTTTTGGAAATAACACTCAAGGAGATCATTTTTTAGCTCATGTCGATCGGTTTAACATCTGACTTGTGTGACTTCTTAGGCCCTTTCTGCCTCTCACCTGCGATCCTCTGCATCTTCATGCGCCGGGCCTGGATGCGACCCTTGGCCAGCCTCTGCTTGGCGATGATGCAGCGGATGTGGTCGGCGAAGATGAAGTTGGCCTGCAGGATGGGCAGCGGCTTGGCGTGCGGGTTGGAGCTGGGCTTGTGGATGACGATGTTCAGCGCTCGGCTGTCGTCCTCCACGCCGGACACCTGCATGTCCTGTGGAGGAGTCGGCGGGCGTTAAGAGGGCACGGGAAGAAAACGCCGGCACAAAGACACGCGAGTTAAGGGGAAAACAAAAAGGCAAAAATGCTATTTGAGGAAAGTAGGAGACAGAAAGTCAGTTAAGAGAAAGATTTATTGAACAAACATTTACTTTGGCTGCATTCAAAAGTTCAAATCCTAACAATAGTTAAAGGAAACCGATTCTAATTACACTTCTACAACAGCTGGGCCTACTAGTAACTGCAAATTATGCAAAATAAAGAATTTCTTTTGAAAAATGAGATTCCACATTGAGTCGACTCATCTGTGGCCACACTGACTTTTAGTCACTTCAGTAGAAGTTTTGGTGAAGCGTCTCGTCACTGATTTCTATATTTTCTGTTTCTCTTACTTGCAGGAGGCCTGCAAACTTGACCACGCCCCATCCGAGGCGCTTGGTTTCCGGCTCGACCAGGCTCATCTGGTACACGTCTACAGCGAGGAACCTCTGCGCCTGGCCGCCATCTTTACTAACCACCATGCAGGCGATGAGGTCACTGTTATCTGAAAAAACAAAACGAAAAGCGACCCACAGGAGAGGCGTGAGCGGTTCGCCCCCAAGTAAACATATGTGAGCGATGCTCTTTGCACGAGGTGACGAGACGCAGAGTCTACGTCCAGGACGGGAAGGATCCGTGTCGAAGTGTCCCTGAGCAAGACACCTAACCCCTAATTGCTCCTTCGTCAAAAATGCAATGTAAGTTGCTTTGGATAAAGGCGTCAGCTAAATGACCTGTGATGTAATTTAGCTTCAAGTATTTTGGGGTTTTGAAAGTCTTGCGATGACAAAGATTAGAAAAGTCTCTTGACGCAACTCTAAAATGTTACACTGACTCAAAGAAAACAGGAGGGAGCTCCGGTTTCATGCTACTTGTGAAATTCATCCTGCAAAATGAGTCATACTTCTTCAGAAAAAAGTTACAAGTTGCAAAATATAAATGTTTTCATTAAAACAGATGTTGTTAATGTAACACTACTAAATTTAATATAACTGAAAATATAATAATAATAATAATAAACAACAACAACAAAACTTTGATATAATTAAAATACTTGGTAAAGCAACATTTAAAAGTGCATTGTGGCAATATTTTCTTTATTTGCGATAACTGACAGCACGGTTAAGTGTTAATGCTCAACACCACTTCCTGCACTCGGTATCAAGACAACAATGAAATGTCAGCTGCAGCATCCTGTTGTCAATTCCATTTCTCTCAGTCAAAAAGCGAGACACATCTGGTGAAAATGTAACCAAAGTCACCGTTACCACTGTAACGTCATTATTGGTGCCTCGCACATCCGTCGTTTAGTTTAATGGGCCTCCCCGAGCAATCAGTCCTCACATTGACACGCCGTACCGAAGCTCGGTGACCTTTAACCTCTAGGAGGACAGACGTCTCTCCCACGCGTCTAGCAGCATGATGAAGAAGAGACGGTGAGCCCACACAACTTTACCAAAACACCTACTGAGCCGATTTGCCATTTAGTCGGAGCCTCGGTCACTCGGTCCTAACGTAAGCAGCCCACTGATCATCATCAGCTGCTGTGGGTTCTCAGCTTAATAGGAAAAGATCACCGAGGGGTTAGCAGGAACTTGACCTCAGCCATTGAAACAGAGAGCAGGGAAAAGCACCGACGGTAGTCCCCGCCGTCCTAAAGTGACGACAGCAGCTAAATGGACCCAGAAATTAGGGGAAGTTCAGTGACAAAAGAAAACAAAAAACATCTGCAGTTGCGGCGTCTGAAGGCGAACCGCTGTGTCATCGGGTCCTGTGGTGCCGATGTGCTCCTGAATTGGAAATTCTGGCGCCCAGGAGCCCGACGTGACGCAAGCCGTCCGGTTCGAAAAGGAGCAAATAATATTGGAATGCAGAAGCAAATGAGCGTCCACAGAAAACAGGATGTGGATGGTTTGGTCCGATCATCAGGACACTTTGAGGTTTCAATCCTTATTCCTTCTGAAAATGGAGTTTCCAAAAAGTACAGATGATGCCAAAGGCCACCGTTACCCAGACCTCACCAACAAGAGGGATAAAACAAAACGGCTTCTTAATCACACAGCATTAAATATAGTTCAATTAGTGCAGTGGTGTGGAAATAGAAAAAACAGATGTGTGAAAAAGGACAGAAAACTTTCTTTGCTTGCATCAGGGATTTCTGCATAATATAGATACTGAATGACACTGTGGGGAATTTGTGGGGAACCTCAGTGCGTCTGACTGCTAATCAGAACCGACTCATTTCAGAGAAGAGAAGTGGTTCTCCCGTCTGCTCCTCGACTCCTGACTTATTCGGCCTGCGTGTCATTTTCATACGCGTCAGTCATGTCAACTAATACAGGACACGACGGACACCAGCAGGTCACCAGGTCGCCTCCCGCCGGTCAGGAACCAGGAATCAGGAAACATTTATTAGCCAAAATATGTCAAACATACAAGGAATTTGTCTTGGCGGTTAGTGCGCGACAGTAGACAGACAAGACAACAGTGCACAAGTAATAAAATAAAGTGGAATGAAATGCTAATGCAATGGGTTAGTAAGAATAAGGCTATGGGTTAGTATAAAACAAGGGAATCAAGTTAAAAAATGTTAAATATTAAAAAGTTAAAGAAAAGTATTAAGCATAAAGTGCACTAGCAAACAAGTAACAGACAAGAGACAAAGTGACAAGTGACAAAGTGATGAATTGCAGTTAAAGTGACATGTGCAGTATGAGGGGGAGTGACCGGTGGAGTGTTATAGTCAGGCAGTGGGGGACCGGGCTCTGTTGATGAGCCCGACTGCCGACGGGAAGAAACTGTTGGTGTGGCGGGAGGTCGTAGTCAACTCAACCGACCGCCCAACCGTACCCATCCGTTACACAAAACCAGGAAGTTAGGGAGAAATGACGGCAGCACATTTAGACGGAGGTCATCCAGCCTTTATTCGGGAGTACGCGTCATCTTGACATTGGACCCTTATTTTGTGCTGATTATTTGCAGAACAACGCTGCTGCTCGACGTCATCCCCAGCGAGTGTCCTTTTATTTTCCCCAGTGTCACATGAGCCGCTTCCAGCACCACAAAGCAGCTTTTATCCCAAGTGAACCGTTACATGTGGGAATGCAAACGTAGACAAACGGAGGCCATGGTGTTATTTTTACCTCCTGCTCCTGCTTTTCTAGTTTCTCTCCCAACCCGTTTCCAGGGTATTTGTTTGTAATCACAACAGACATACAAATCAAACCAGGCACATTCTGTGTGTTACAAACAACCTTTTCAAACACACCTCAACAACAACAAGTTAAGCAGACGAGTACCAGCTCACCTTCAGTCGTGGAAAAGTGGACACCTTTCATACAAGATGTTTGTATTCACAACTACAGAAACCACAAACGCATGCACGCACGTCAGCAATACAGTGAAATACACAACAAGTACAACAGCACCGTGACTCACGAGCGCATTCCTGTGCAGTACTTGTGATATCCTGCGAGGCCGAGCTAACCGCATGCAAGTTTCTACAACATCACCTACACACCTGTGTACAGTAAGGAGACCGTTCAGGTTACTGTGGTCGTGAACGGTTTTGCATGTGCGTGTCTGTGTGCGTTGTTGAGGCCCGCGTTGTGACTGAAGTTCTTTTGGGGACGGAGGACAGCGGTAAGGAAGGGTGGGAGGGGGGCGGCACAGTGATGAAATGAAAGCGAGCTGTCTGGGTTTTGTAGCGCGTGCGACTCACTGAGGTCTAAGACGTCGTCGGTCTTGATGAGGTCTTCGGGCCGGGTCAGAGGAAGCTGCGTCTCAGGTTCTCCCTGCAGCTGCAGCGACAAGGACCGCAGCATGAAGAACACGCGGATCGCCTGTGCAGAGAGACACGCAGACTTACAGCAACGACACTCCGAGAGGAATAAAGATGAGAACAAGTGCAACCGCACAAGTATTTTAGATTGTCGACTACGTTTGAGCGTAAATAATCACGCGTCCTTGCGCCCCGAGGGGGAAACGCCGGATTTAAACAAGAAGACGGCGTCTTCTTTCGCGGGGACGTACCCTGCGTGTCTTCTCCACGTCCCCACAGGGAAGCCGCTTGACGAAGTCGATGCCGGTCAGAGGGGTACCGGTGGGGGGCAGCAGCACGGAGGCATCCATCATTAGATACTCCACGTTCAGCGGTTTACTCTGCAACACACACACACACACACACACACACACACACACACGTGTGCATGAGTACAGGCGAGCCCACATTAGCACCGACGATTAGCTTCGGCACGAGCTAATGAAAAGAAAAACAGACTGACCGTCATGCTCCTGTACTCGTCTTCAAACATGTCGAGAAAGATCTCCTCACCCTGCGACGAAAAAGGAAGGTTCAAAAGGAGGCGAAAGCTTCACCTCCTCTGTGCATGAAGAGACTCAGCAACAACGTCACACGCCGTCGCACAATAAGAACTGTGTGCGCAGAGCAGATCTAAAGGATTATGAAGACCGGTCTGAATATTCTAAACACATCTTACGTTTCATGCACGCATGCATCCCCGCCGAGAGCTGATGGCTAAATACACGTCTGTCACAGGATTATATTGTCAATAATATATAGATCTCATTCATCATGATGCCAGCAGGAAGAAGAAGGTTAATGCTCTATGAATTAAAATGCTCCGTCCTGAAAATATCCCGACAATTCCCCCCCATCATTTTTCCGTTCGCTTCGTCTCAGCATCTTTCGCCTCGGCTGACTCATCGCTCTCTGCGACGCTGCAGGCGAGATGACTTCGCTTTTTCGCGCCGATCTTGATTGTCTGCCTCGCATGTTGATATTTACATTGCATCGTCGCCACATCGGGCTGCTCTCGCACGCAATACACGAGCGACTCATCGAAACGGCGTACGGCGCCTGGTATGTGCGTACCAGACGCGTCCCAACTGGGCGAGCGGGAGAGGAATTCTCTCGTGGCTTCCCGTCAGGAACCAAAACAGAAAGCGCTGCACCGATAAGACGCTGGAAATATCGATCATATCTAAAATAATGTGTTCATTTACAAATCCATTATCCAGGATTCTCGTCAGCTCACTAACATTTCAGTGGACTCACTTATATCTTCGTCCTTGAATATACTTTAATCAAACATTTAATCGCAGTTCGTTATTCAAATTCCCATTTAAAGGGAAAAAAAACACGATTATTTGACAATGATTCTCAAAGCCTTTGTTGACTGTAGATATTTAAGAGGAAGAAGTTAAATAGTTTTGACATGTTGAGCGCACAAACTGAGATCAACCATTTCTTTCTTTTCCTGCTTTTCCCGTCAACGTTCTGCGTCTCTCCACTTGTCTGGATGAGTCCTGTGACAGATTCCAAAACTGATATCCAGAGAGAAACAGAAAGCACTTTGCTAAAGAATACGTTGGAAGCACTTTCACTTTTACCGCTCACACCTTCAGGGAAACGGTTTGTAGTTCTAATAAGTCAGCTGAGCGACGCGAGAACTGGTTCTGCGCGGTTCTCCCTAAAAGGGAGGTCTCCGTGTGCAGCCCGAGCAGAGGACGCTTGTCACGCTCTGACTTGTCAGCAGACTTCCCGCTGTGCAGCCGGAGGAACACGCGCTCACATTCATGCTAATTAGCGTGTTGACGTTAAACGTCGGCTGGTCTGAGAACGTTTGCAGCTGTCCTGCTTAGTTCCTCCTTCCTTGTTCCACTTTGCATATATGATACATGTGTGTGTGGGCAGACGGAGAGAAGCGCTTGTGCTTATGTAGGTCAGTAGTACGTGTTTGTGTGTGTGTGCGTGTGTGTTACGGTTCACTGTCACCTTGTAGAATCTCCGCAGTAAATGCAGACTTTCTTCTCTGGCACCCTGCAAACACAGACGTTGATCACATGCGTAAATACACAGAGCGAACCATCTGCCGTGTGTGGCGAACACACACACACACAGAAATAACATCTTCCAACACATCAGACAGACATGACGGTGATTACAAAAGTTCACAACAATCAACAACATTCCCATGTGCTACACAGCAGGATAATTGTTTCCCCAAACAACATCTACAGATTTCCTACATGTACGTGACGGTTGAAATAAGTTGGATGTTTGCACACTTCTTTGTTAACAGTGAATCTAAACACGACACTCGTGCGCAGACAGCGTGACGCGTGCGTGTGTAACGTAATGAGTTATTGGAGAATGAACGTGGCTTCACAGACGGTGGCGCCCCAACTGCGTGAAGCCGTGTGCGATAACGGTCTGTAAACAAATCCCAGACGCTTTTCCGGTCAGAAAGAAAACAGACTAGTCAGCAATTTCCCAGCAGCGGGGCCGGAATGGCACCAAGCAGGGTGAGGGGCAACTTAGAATAACAGCAGGATTATCCTTAACGGGGTCAGTTGTTCATCATCACAGAGGCCAGAGGCCAGTTAAGCAAAAGAAACCTCGACTTTAATAAATAATCGTAATTCCTGGAAAGCTTATCAACCCTGAGGGGCACCGCCCCCACGGAAAGAACGCTGGGTCGGAGGTGGGAAATTCTTAAAGCCCGACACCCCTTGTGATGTGACTGATATCAGTAGTCTGTGAAACACCGCTTTTTAGGATGGCAGGTTTCAATTCCCTTTTAAATTTAGTAAATTGTATTTCAGAAAAGAAAATTCCGACAGCGGGGGGGGGGGGCCCTCCACTTCCTGCAGCCCCCGTTCCCACAGAGCAGAGGAATGCAGAGAAAGAGAAGGTGTGGAGGATTAACCTGAAGTGAGCGGAGAGGAAACGGTGTTGAATTCCCAGAAGAATGAGAAAGAAACACAGAGTGGAGTTATTGCTGATAACGGCACAAGGTCCACCGTGAAGCTGCAGCGTGTCGGCGTGCGACGTACCTCCAGGCAGGCCAGATGCACATCTTTGATTATGCAGCGGCTCCCGGACAGCACAGACTGCTTTAACAAAAGGCAGCTCAGCTCCAAGGTGGCCAAACGCACTTTACCATCTACACACACACACACACACACACACACACACATTATATGAATACACAACTCAACACAGCAAAAGATTGAATGGAATAATGTAAACAATGTTAATATCAAACAGGTCAATAATCATATTCTGTTGTTAAGACGTGTGAAGAGGACTTGTTGATTGTGTTTTATCGGGAAGTTTTATGGTGATAAAAGTAAAAACATTAAGTTAAAAAAGTAATATGTCAGGTCAAAAATGTTAAAAAAAAATATGAAGTCCAATTTTAAATTCTAAATATGTGTGCGGTGTGGCGCAGCTTTTATTCAACTTGTATTACATTGGAATTGCACCGGCATGCATGGTGCGTGTGTGCGCGCGTTACCCGGCTGCGCTGCGTGACTCATTGCTCTGATCAGTCGCTCTACCAGCACCAGGCTGTAGCAGCTCTTCTCCTGGTCAGGGACTGGTAGCTGCAGCCGCTCCAGAAGGTCTCGGTTTATTCCTACGGACCACACGGACATGTGGAGCAACGGCGTGATGTGACTTGTTTATCAAAAGATTAAGAGTTCTGGGTCGATCCGAAAATAATCCGAGGTTCAAATCAACCTGAATTCTCAGATGAAAGAATATTCTAACTCAACACAACAAAGTGACTTCATGATGATGTGGTTCGTGCACACCTGCTCCATTTGAGAGGGAATGAGGCTGAGTCGTACATCTTTACTTTAGAGGTAATTGTGTATTCTGTTATAGAGGCAGTTTTCATTTCATTTGCCCCCTCTTGATCTGAATAGTGTGCACTAAATAACACAGTTAAACAGTAACACAAACTACATCTTACTTCATACAGGACAATAAAACAGTTACTGTCAGTCACGTCCATGTCAGTCACAAATGTCATATATATATATATATATATAATGGTGAAACCTTTGTGTTGCATGTTGCCACCGTTCAATGACAGCTGACAGGAAGCAACCAGACTGCGATGAGGAGGTCCGAGCGGACCGTCAACATGTGACGCCAAAACCGACAGGAAGGAACGAAAAGAGGGGGGCCAACCTTTGCTGTGTGAGACGGCGTAGAGCAGGCAGAGGACAAACAGGGCGTGGTAGTCGTCCTCGTTGCAGTCCAGGGCGCTGTAGACCATGTCCAGGAACGGTCTGCACAGAGGTGGGGTGGGCGGGGGGCTCCGTCAGCTAAGTCACCTCTTCCACGTCTTGGTGGGTTCAGGTGTGGGGGCTCACCTGCTCCTCTGCGTGTGCGTGCGGGTGGCCGCGGCGGTCTTCTCCTCGTCGGTGATGTTCTGCTCCGTCAGCTCCGACACTTTGCACTTCTCCATCACCACCATCTCGATCTCTGTGTGGACACGCACACTTTGTACCTCCTCCATACATGCGTATGCAGAGATATTCCTCAACCGTCACAGTGACGAGGACGACGATGAGCTGCTGTCACCAGTGGATGTGGACGCTCAGTCTGATCTGCTTCTCTCTAAATGATCAGATGTGTCCAGGCAGCAAAGACGAGCCAGCAGCGTATGCTACTCTTGATTAGGAACAGAAAACTATGCATGAAATGCACCATGCGATATTTTCAAACGCAAAAAAATATCTCAATCAAGGATTTGTAGCATGCCGCCCAAGTCTTTTATTTTAAAATCAATCAGTTAAATAGGGTGAGTGAGTCATCTTTCCACGCAGGATTATACTTGTGTCATTCTGAAACTAGTTCTTCCTCTGCAGCCCACGATGTAATTGTGCTCAAACTCATTTGTTCCTTCAGAGGCAATTAAGATTTATAGACCTGCACAAAGTCTGTTCAGTCAACGTGGAGAAGGAATCATGTCATACGAGTTGTAAATAACACACACACACACGACGCAGGAGGAGACAGGCGGAGGGGTGAGGAGCACAGGATGGATGGTGTGTCATTGTGGAAATGGACCGTCGGCTGTGGTCAGTGGTAGCCATGGTTACCATGGGAAAAATATTAAAAAAAAGGGTGCCAAATGGGGGGAGGGGGGAAGCAGCCCAAGATGGGTGGTGGTGGTGGGGGAGGGGGGGGTGGGGTGGGCTCATCTCAAAACTATCCAAAGAGGAACTTTTGGTTCCAGGGTGTATTTTCTGTCATGTTTTACCCTCAAATACTCCAACAAATTAGGATTGAAGTGCGTCGTTAACCTGAGAAGAGTCGAATGTGAAAGACGCAGCAGTAACATACACGCTAAAATAAGCAGAGCTGTAAAACGTGGTCGGTCTGTCTTAAGTAAAAACGTAAGTTTCTCTTTTCTGCTTTGAGACGAGGGCGGCTGCTGTGGTGGCTGATGGGTAACCAAGGTGCATCATGGGAGACTGTGTCTGATTGATGGCAGTAAAGAAGAACTGAGACACACAGCGGTACAGCTGCGCCCAGTGAGACACACACTCACCTTCCGCCGTCTCCCCACTCGCTCTGCTTCCCTTAGAACTCCCACCTCCTCCTCCTCCACCTCCTCCTCCCTCTGTACCTTTTCCCTTCTCCCTCTCTCGGCCGCCCTCTCTTTCTCCGCCTTTGCCGCCGTCATCGTCGTCGTTCCAGCCCTCGTCCGCTCCTCCACCTCCACCTCCACCCCCCCCCGGCCTTTCGTCGTCGTCCTCCTCCTCGCCCAGGTTCTTGTAGTTTGGCCTCTTTTGCGTTCTCTTGCGCCCGCGGTGGCGGGACAGCTCCAGGGAGCGCTCCAGAGACTCCGAGGGCTTGGTGAAGCGACGCACACCTCCCGCGCTGGCCTGGGGTTTGCAGAAGGAGGAAGGGAGGGGTGGGGGGGAGGGTGAGATGGGAGGAAGCGGCACTCACACAGGACTTTCTCATCAGCTCTACGTTTTGTCTGAAATGTAATTTCAAAAGATGTTTTTGATTCAAATAACTCAAATAACCAAAAGCCGCTCTGAGACTACAAAAGGCCACAGTTTACGCGGGTATCTCTGCGGTAACTCCAAGTACAATACCTCCAAGTATGTGCGGACTACAAAGTAAAGCAAATGAGTGAATTCAGTCAGTTATTGATAGTATTGATAGTGTGCAGCAGCAGCAGTTTCCAGGCAGCCGCGTCACTGCCCCTCTTTACTGGCAGAAGTGCATGAAAGAAGAAAAAAGAGACACACTAATAACTTACGTGCCTATATCTCCTCACACATGCGTACAACCACAGAGCCTTACAGTAAATCCTTGTTGCACTATCTTGTCGGTTAAAGTTTAAGCCTCTTCCTCCCCGATGCACCTTATCAAAGACGCACACACGCACGCACACGCACTCACACGCACATACAGACACGGGCCATACTGAAACTAAAAGCACCCTAGTTCTCACATGTACAGCAACATGCAGATATGCACACAGGAAACAGCTGTTGGTGATAAGATGTCGAGAAGAGATGTCAGCATTGACCTCCAGTAAAGCCCGATAATCACACTACAAATAGATCTACTACAACTAGTGATACAATTAGTTAGAAAACAAAAGGTGAGCTGGTGGAGCTCTGTCCAACATGTCAACGCATCCGGTTAGGTATATTGGGTGAAATTGTCATAATCGGCATATTCATTTGGGTTATGGCCCAAAATGTGTTACTAAAGGTCACAGAGACCTGTGACCTCAGAAGATCAATGTGACCTTGAAGCTGCAGCCGGCCCGGGAAAGGTCCACAACAGAGGAGATCTTTATGGAGATTCATGAAATATAGATCTTTTCCTCGTTTTCAGAATAAACATGGTTTGATTTGGGACACAGGTCACCATGGTTACCCCCATGTCTCCCCTGTGGAGAAACACAGTTAATACAGCACACAACAGACTGCCAGAGGGACATCCAGGTAGCAGCAATCCTCAGTATGAGGTTACTATCGCTGATTGAGGACATCCTGTAAAGTGCACTTCAATCACAATACTGTGATGTCATGCTAATTACAAATAGTTTGTGCACGAAGACATTTTGTTTGTATATATATATATATATATATATATATATATTACACACACACACACACGCGCGTGCACATCAGGTATCTTGGGCTGAAAGTAGGTGGTCTTTTTTCACTTCACCTCATACACCAACACAAACCACTGCACACACATGAACCCGAGGCGCACACTCGGCGTGCCGTGTCAGATAATGAAGCCCATCCCTCTTATTTGTCCAAACAGCTGCCGTTTACGTGAATAGACATTTACTTAAAGTTCCGATTTATAATTCCTACACACCGACTAAACCGCTCGATGCTTGTTAATGATCTTTATTTCCTGGAAATAGGTGGAAGGTGGTCCGTCAGTGGAGAACTCCTTCAATTCAGCTCTGAGTCTGAGCACTTAGCATTGTTCTGTAGCCACGGCTAACAACACAGTGTGTGTGTGTGTGTGTGTGCTGTCAGACATAAACCACTAGTGTGTGTGTGTGTGAGTGTGTTGCACCTGTTAGCTGACTATGTTCTGGTAAACCGCTCACTCTCTGAGCGTATGCTGAGAAACTGATGCAGGTCACCGAGCGTGTAAGAGAAACCTACGCACACGCACAGACTCGCACTAACACAATGTGGCATCCAGAAGAAAAGAAAAAAACACATGCAGGGCAAAGTCGTTCTTATAAATGGACAAAACTTAAAAAGCTTAAACTACAAACAAACCGACATGCAAATGTTGACGCTGTGTATGTAACTGGTGCACTTGCAAGAAAACACGTGCATAAAATAGATGAAGAAAAAAAAAAAAAAAGAGCTACTTCCAGGAAAGAGATTTGGGTTAGGTGAGCCAGCGCTGTCGGTGTTCCATCATGTGACCTAATTTCCTGCCACATCACAGACAAACAGGAAGAAGCTTTTGACCACTTGCACAGAAACATGTGACCATCTCATCTACAATAAAAAAAACACACACTCAGAGTTCTTTCTGATGTGGCGGAAATAATTCATTCTCACAATCAATGACGCATGTAAAAAAAAAGAGAAAAAAAGATAAAATAGACAAAACTTTGTCAATATGCGTAATCAGGATTAATAAAGGGCATTTTCCACATTAATGCTTTACTGGAGCCCAGAATGGAGGAAGATGCTGATTCGCGTCACAGGACGTGCGCGACTCTGCCTGAGAGCGGCAACGCGCGAGAAGCTCCAGGAGAGAGCGGGACCGCGGCCCCTGCAGTGTGTTTACTATGAACGCCGTACTTCTCCCATCTCTGGGAAACGGATCTACTAACGAGGCTCATCAAAGAGCTCGAGCTGCAGAGACAGAGGGAGGAACAGCTGAATGAAAAGCTGCCAGCGTTGCGGTAGACCGACAGCGTCGAGACATCACGCCTCGACTCACATTCACTGAAGAGGTGGGCCGCTTCTTACAACAGCCACACACACACAAGTTCTCAGAAACGATCACCAGCACAGCACACCCACCTGGCTTTACAAACACATGGTCAGAAAATGAAGAAGAGGGTGGAGGTGTGTGTGTGGGGGGGGGATCGAAACGTGGGAGAAGAAGAAACTACGAGGCCGAGAGGTTTAGAGAGAGAAGACAGCTGAGAGGAGCCAGATGGGGAAGATAGGGGGGAGACAAGGGGGAGGTAGAAAGAAGGGATCAAAGCGAAAAAGGGAAATAACATTTCGATGACAACACAAGGGAGACGTTCAGAGGAAGCCTCAGGGGGCGAGAAGGGGAGGAAAGATGAACACAAAAAGATGCAACAAACGTAAAGGAGAAGAAAAAAAAACGTGAAAAGAGATCATTTGCCTCGACGCGGGTGATTCACCTAGAAAAGCGTGACCCCGCCGATCTCAGAGACGCCTACACGTACTTCTAGTCTGTGTGTGTCCGTGCGGTTGCCTGTGTAGGTGTGCGTGTTGTCGTTGTCCACACTGCTGTTTGTGTGCGGGCATGTTGGGTGAAATTAATGGTTCCGTGAGTGCTGTTTAGGGGCGGCACGGTGGCGTGGTGGTCAGCGCTGTCGCCTCACAGCAAGAAGGTCCTGGGTTAAGACTCCGCCCAGTGGCCTTTCTGTGTGCAGTCGGCATGTTCTCCCTGTGTCTGCGTGGGTTCTCTCCGGGTTCTCCGGCTTCCTCCCAGTCCAAAGACATGCTCTGGGGATCGGGCTTGGGGACTCTAAATTGCCCGTAGATGTGTGAATGTGAGTGTGAATGGTTGTGTGTCTCTGTGTAGCCCTGCGATTGGCTGGCGACCGATCCAAGTTGGCTGGGATGGACTCCAGCCCCCCCGCGACCCTGTGTGCAGGATAAGCAGTTTGACGATGGATGGATGTGAGTGCCATTTATGTTGAATGTTATCGTCTCGGGTTTGCATGTTGGTCTCCACCGTGTGTGTGTGTGTGTGTGTGGGGGGGCCTTACCGTATACTTTGTCTGTGGGGTGAAGACAGACAGGTCTCCATTGAGAATGACTTCGGCCAGGGAGTTGACCAGGGGCTGATAGTGGATGATCAGAAACACCTGGAAGACGTGGACAAAATGTAAAAGGTAGAAATATGAGACCAACTCTTAAGTCGAACTTTGAAGCACACTAAAGGAGTCACACACACAAACACAAAAAAAACAACACAACTGTCTGTTCAGGGTGTTTGTGTGTGTCGCTTACCTGAGACAGCAGGTAGAGGGACACCTGTGCGTTAATCTTTCGCTCTTCGGACTGAAGAGAGAGATTAAAAGGAGTCGGTAACATGCGTATCAGGTAATCTGTGTAGTATCTGAGGAATGCGCTGGGCTGTGCAGACTGAGAGGTGATGGTTTGTCGTCCGAGGAGGGAGGCATTCAAATCACTTTTAAACAGAATTCATTAAACCAGAGAAGTCAAGTTTGAAGTCTCTGGAGCACGACGAATAAAAATAAATATTTTTAAAATCTCAGCGCAATCTGAAAATGTTTGTTAAGAATGTTGCTTCGAGCACACATGGATGATCACTGGTACGTTTACTGGTTCCACTTTCTCCAATGAAACTCAATGCTTTTTTTTTTTCCTGCCAAACAGTGACGCAAAACAAAACATTTCAGCTAAACTCATTTTAATGGTTTTTTTAGCCCATAAATAAAAGCTGCAGCTAAAATGAAACTGTTTCTCTGACGTGTTCTTTAACACATTTGCTCATAGGAAAGAGTGTAGGTGCTAAAACGCATCATGTCCCTATTTTTAGAAACAAATAGAGGAAGCATCCCCGATACCACTGTGTGAGCCGGTCATCGTGCCGGTGCCGGTGAAGGTCCCGTACCGTCTCAGGGATGACCAGCGAGTAGACATAGAGGGGCAGGAAGAGACGGTTGAGGAGGTGGTCGGTCAAAACGTCGTTAAGGAATTCACAGTTGATGATGAGAATATCGTTCAGGTAGTGCAGGTGGTCGAGGTGCTCGGCTACCAGGTCACTCAACTTCCCCCGGTTCCGATGTCTGGTTCCCAGAGGAGAAAGACACTGAGGTGTTCAATGATTATCGTACATTATTATTACTACATGTGCAGATTCTTAATCTGTCACTCGTTCGTATATTATATAGAAGTGTGATGCAATACAAACCACCAGCACTGGAAGAGATAAAGCTACATGCGTGGACGCCCCCCTAGAGGCCACAGCGAGAACTACGCAGAGGAGCAGAGCACACACACACACACACTCACTCTTCGTCTGTCTGCACACACTTGTCCAGCTCGATGACATGGCTGCCGATGAACCACACCAAGTTGCTGAAGTATGGGACCGCGGTCTTATCCCGGATGTAGTGCAGCATGTGCTGGTTGTCCACTGGTGGGATAAAAGGTCGGGATTAACATCCGGGTTCACGAGGATGCCCAAAAGTACTGCGGGGGGCTTGATAATGTCGCACCAGAACGTTGTGATGCTTCATCACTTCACTGTCAAAGTAGATACCAATCCACACGGGTAAAAAACTGACATGATATGAATGAACGAGATCCATCTCAATCACTTGGGGGATTAAGTGAGAACTAAAGCAGAGCGGGAGACTGACAGAATAACCTCAGAGACCCAAATAGTGCCACCAAAATAGTTGTGGGGCTCCACTGAAATTAAGACTGTGGAAAGATTCGTTCAAGACAAAAAACACCACGATAAATGTACGCAGGCACATTTATAACAAACAGGTCTGGGTATCAACAGGCGCTGACATATAGTGAGAGATGATAAGTGTTATTTAATGGACGGGTCTCAGATTAAAAGAAAACTAAAGTAAAAATCAACAATCTCAGGAAAGCACAGACAGACTTGCTGCCAAATCTAACATTTTTTTTGAGAATTGTATCTGCATCACTGCAACAACAAATGGAAAGTAGAATTAAAATAACATGTCGATGATAACACGCCCTAAAAAAACAAAGACTGAATGAATAGAACCAACTTACATGAAACTGGAGTTAGGCAGATGGGGGGCGCACAGGATGGGGGGGGGGGGGAGGACAAGGAGAGGAAGGAGGAGGAGGAAACAGAGACTGGGTTAATGTGTGCCGAAGAGGGGAGGCAGGGAAACAAACTGCTACAAACTAAGGAGTTCATACGTTTATCATTTTAAACTCTACAAGAGAAACCAGAGGAAGAACTAGTGTAGTTCCAACTATAACATGATTACGTTACTACTAATTATACAATATCATGATGCTGAAGTGTCCAAGCGTTCGACTGGTACCGTGTTTTGATGGAGCAGTTTAAATACGTTCATCGAACCGAAATGTGTTCTGAATTTAACAGCCCGGTCCATTATCAGGGAGTGCTCGTGCACTCTCAGCACACTCTCCTTACGGCTGCGTGGAGAAGGAGATCTTTGAATGGAATGCGTGTGTGAAATCGTGGAGAAAGTGAAAGTGAACCCGGCGGTAGTGCTGCACTATAATCGTCTGGAACAGACATGTTTATCTAATTAATCACTTTCTGCTGGCTGACCGCAGAGTTTCAAGGGTTACAGTCGATGTATCCGTGTTCGGATCCACAGCGGCCAGCATTTCTACACATTTTCATGTGCGTGCTGGAGGTTAACAGCTTTCATGCGTCTGGTTCTGAGCAAATATTTATTGAATTTTCAGTCTGTCTTGTGGACTTGCTCCGTGAGACATCCTCAGAAAAGACACGTGCCTAATGGCAGATGGTATTTCTGTGAAGGCACAGGATGCACTCTTAATCCAGTAGAGCCGCACTGACACCTGCTTGTAGGTTCTTTGATACCTAAAGTCCTTTGACTCGTACCGCTCTAAACCTTTAGAAACACTTCCAAGAAAAGGAAACTAACGACAGCTTCGTCATTTGGACCCCGGCACTCACCTTTATAGACGTTGAGCGTGATGGTCCGGACTGCGATGCGAACCATGCTTTCAGGGTGGTTGAAAAACTTGATGGCCTCGGTGTACAGGGCAAAGTCATTAGTGTGCTGTGTGGGAGACAGAGAGGGGCCGCTGGTGAGCAAGGCACTGAATCGCATGAGCGAGGGAGAGTGAGAGAAAGCAACTCCTGGATTTCTCTCTTTAAACAGAGGAAATGTTGTAAAAGTACAAGTCGGGGCAAAAATGATGAGACGTTACAGAATTCCTGTATGACACTAAAGAGCGAGGGTTTATTTTCTTCCTGTAAACAACAAGCCTACGAGTTCCCTCGAGGAACGACTCTTCATCCTGAAACATGGCCGAGGCTCCTTACAACCTCACAGTGCTTCAGATCTGCGGCAAATCTGACAGTGAACGCCTGACCAACGCAAAGAGCCGTCCGATGGCGCCCTCTGGTGGATCTTCACATTATAAATTACTTGTGTTAAATGAATAATTAGAAACATGAAAAATACCGTAGAGTAATTATTTACAAAAAAATAATTAATAATAGCTAATCAAACATATATAAATACTCTCAGATCAACACATCGGGTCTGTTCTTGGCATCAGGAGCAAAGCAACTATGGACATCAATAACTTTCTCCAGCACACACAGACCAATCAAGCTTCTGGATTTTTAGGAAATTAATTAGCTCTATTTACAATGAATTAAAACAGAATATGTGCACCTCTGTTAAATACCAGTTGTAGTAGATGTTGATGTAAAGCAGGCTGCTACTATTTTCAGTCCCTCCATTCTCAGCTTGTAATATTAAAGCAGTTCTGTGATAAAGATGATGAGAGTTCACAGACTTTTTTTTCAGTCCCTCCTCCTTCCCTCTAATCCCATCAGCCTTGAGCCTCACCTCGTTGTAAAAGAAGTGCACGGTGTGGTTGTTGAGCTTGAGCGACAGAGTCTTAAGGAAGGAGATGTAGTAGGCCATGATCTCCTCGTCCGAGAAGTCAAACTTGTGGACGATGATGGAGTTCACGTGGTTGTTTGACAAAAGGTAATCTGAGAAGAGAAGAGACTTGTTCAGACAGCGCAAGTTCTAAGCAAGAAGAACTTTTGTAGAATGACTAAAAATATTTCTTCAGGCCCCGTCAGGATTAATGATAAAAGGACACACTGAACGTCTAGAGAGGATGTTTGCTCTTCATCCATCAGACCAGAACAGTGAGGTCGGACTACTGATTGGAGTTCACAGCGTAAGATGAGAAAATCCCTTTACAATTGACCAAAAGGCAAACCTCGTTACTTTATATAAAAGGTATACTTGCCAGCATATCCTCTGCTGAGGACACGGTTGCTTAGCAACAACAAAAATGCAGCTCGCTGCTCTGCATCGTATATTTCAACAAAGAAATGCAGTGGAAATTGCCTCGCATCGCATGGGCTTCAAAATGCATTCCAAAACATTTACACATTTACACATCTACACGCTGATTTCATGGATATTGAATACGAAGGTGCTGTAACAGCAGTAACTATGGGGCATCTAATGCTTTGCAGCACATCATTTATTTTTCTATTCTTGTCACGTGTTGATTCAAATACTTACAAAGGGAAGTCTCATGGCTGATGTTCTCAAACAGTATGTTGAGCGTCTGCAGCAGTTGGACGCACACGTAGCGCCCCGACTTCTGACGCAGGATGTTCAGGAAGAAGGCAAACATGTTCTTCTCCAAGAAGAAACTGAACACATAGAGAAGAGTATTCACTAACACGTACAGGGGTCAGTCTATGAGGATTTGATCGTGAAGTAATCAAAAGAGAAAAATGATATTTTACAGCACCCTTGTGGAGTAGTAGTTTTGATCCATACTATATGGCCACGGAACGGGGATCAAGATAATAACTCCTTTTTAAACGTGGGATTAGACATTTAATTTCTGCCATTGAAAGGGATTTTGAAAGGAAATGTTCAAATCCATAAGTTTCTTGAAGAGTGTGAAAACCTTGCAAGCATGAATACAAATCCCAATGTAAGTAAATGAAAAGTTGTCACTTCCCCACGCAGAAGCTACATCTGCATATTAGCAGTTACAGGTAAAGGATCAGTCAAAAACACATTGATTGGCACTTACTCAAATACAGAGCTGTCATTCTGGTCTCCCCAGATGAGGATCTCTGTGATGGAGCGGATGGTCTCCACCAAAAGATTTCGGTTGTGCTCGGTCACTGTGGTATTTTTGGTCAGGACATGGTACATATACCTGATGGAACGACATACATACGACATTTACGTTACGTCTTTTATTTTAGTTATTTGGACCATCGCCAAATTGTGTACTGTAAAAGCAATCCCAAATAAAGTCCCTACATGTGTATAGCTGGTCAGTTGGCTAATGTGCGATATTTAAAGTAACTTACATGACACTGTCAATTCTGTATCAGAGGTTGTTTTTTTACTTTGGGGCTAACTTAACAGCTAACGCTAGCTTGCAACACTAGCTTAAAAAACAATAGAAAAAACAAATGCATTATATTGGCGGACTGTGCAGTTACAGTTGGTTAAAAGTTTTTGTTTTATCGGTTTACAACTAAGCTAATGATAATGTTGACAGTCGTTCTCAACCGGTGGATTTATGCATACAGGCTAACGTTAGCATGTCTAATACTACCTAACAGTTACTCACTTCAAATGGTCCAAAGAATGGATATTTTTCGGTTTCCCCGGTCCTCCGACCCAGCTCCGTGACCGGCCGAACATGGTTGTGGTTGTAAGGAGTGTACCGGTTCGACGGTGCGCGTTATTATGCTAACGTTACTGTCCGCATCTATACATTACACCCACATTCCCGTACGGATAGCTACTTAGCACACAGAAGGTGATATTAGCGCAGAGGGGTCATTACGTAATAGCGGTTGCGAATTGTTTGTCTGGGAGTTGACGTTTTCTCTCCTCTAAACAGCATAGGAAGCTGGTGGTTGGAAAACTACACCAGTCACTTCCGGGCTCGGCCGTGACGTTGAACACGGGCGACGCGTCCTGCCGTCGGGCCTGGTTAAGGGATCGACACCTCACCGACCAATCACGGCTCAGCCTGCCAGTCGGCGAGCCAATCAGCGGCCGCTGCTTCCGGTGTCGCATTGTGGCCCCGGGACTGTTGTGATGTTAGTTGGCTAAAATGTTGGAATGGACGTTTAGCTTCGAACTGACCGTCAGAAGCGTCTTCTCGTGAATGCTTCGTAATTTCCCGTTACGGGTGTGTTCACAAGAACAACTCTAAATGACCTGACTTACCGAAATGCTCGCGTTTTGTTTCACACCTAGCATCGCATGCTACTGTTTTTAGCCCGGGCCAGCTGGCATGGCGTGAGTTCCGCAAACCGCAAAGACGAATGTCAAGAATGCGTCGAGCTCGCTAATGGCGTATTTTAATACCGTCCACCGTTTTATTATTAACTACGAATGTTACGCACGTATCCCTAGCTTTTGTTGACGTCGTTTTCTTCGGAACCTTCCAGATACACCCGCACTAAAAGCTGTCTCTCAATCACTGTCCGCAGGTCGGGACAAGCCGAAATGGACTCTCCGTCCCCCCCGAGAGAATCCTAGCGGTGACACATCGTGGACCGAACCGTGGCTCTCCTCCCTTCCTATGACACAGCCAATATATGCCCAGCTAGATTCGGTTGAATCGCTGTTGGACGAACTCCCATATATGTTTTATCTGGGCCTGTTCTTCGTCAACGTCCTCATTCTCTACTACGCCTTTCTGATGGAGTACATCGTCCTGAATGTGGGGATCGTGTTTCTGCCCGAGGACATGGACCAGGCGCTGGTGGAGCTCGGGGTGCTGTCCGATCCGGCCTCCGTGCCCTATGACACGGACACGGAGCTGGATGTGTTCGAGGGCTACCTGGAGTGACTCGTCAGAAGACGGGCCCGGGGGGGACGGATTGGACCGGTGAGGACACCAGCTAGTCGTTCACGTGGTCACCAACACCGGTGGAAGAGTAAGCGGCGCACACGAGACTCGTTGTGTTGTCTTTCTGTGTCACTGTCAGAATAAAATTCTAAACAACATACTTACTAAACAATCCAGCGGTTCTATATTGCGTTCTAACATAAAATCTATCTAATGTTTTGGTCATTGTCTCTCTGTGTTGTGGTCGCTGCTCCAGGTTCTCTCGGCTCAAAACACGTTATCGCAGGAAGAGCTTCAGCGCCGTCGGCCGCACGATCAGCGCTCGCCCCACCGGAGGAGGATCAGCTGTCCGTCCGAGCTGCAATCTAGCGGTCGCACGCCTCGGGGGTCAGCGCTGACCTCCCGTGTCCTTCACTGCGGACATCAGGACAAATGTTAAAGGCGTGCACTTAAGTAGAAGGAGACAGCTGAGAGGGAAACAAATGTTACTAGAGATGTGGCGCTGGACTCGGAGGTCTGCGTTTGAGCCAGTTCAGGTCCAGCGGTCCGAGTATGACGTGGAAACGTCCATCCGGGCTGTGCAGGAACCGGGGATGGACGGCCCCAAAGAAGTGTGACCTTCCAGAAGAACTGGCACAGAGCGGAAACACGAGGTCCGCTGTCGGTCTGTTGCTTCCTTAACCATTGAGTACCACAAATCACAAGTTTCATTCATCTTCAATGTTCAGAATGCATTGCTACTTCAGAACTGAGGTGTAGGAGAGTCCCACAAAACACTCATCACTGTGAGCCCGAACGTAATCGAGGATCCAGGGATGTTATTTATTTGATTCAGTCGGCCTTCTGGTGGTCGATATCATATTATTAGTTGAGGTCTTGTGCACATGCATTTGTAACAGCAGGAGCTACGACGACCGCGATCACAGCTGACCGGCATGTGTCCACCTGATTCCAGCACGAGTTGTGTCGAAAGGCCGAAAGAGAACCCACGAGATGTGCTTCAGATATTTGACTTTCTCAACCCGCCATTTTGTCATTCATGTTTGTTAGTATTCATTTTACAAGTAGACAGGTACAAAAACACTCAACGCATGATATGGATTGCGTGTTTTCTATCCACTTTCTTCTCTTCGGTTTGTACGGATGTAGAAATGTTAATAAGATGTACATCCTTGGCAGCAATAATGAACGGGTTCATGCAATGAGGCGATTCCATAGCAGACGTGTGTGATCCGGGGGAAGGGCTGTACATGCTGCAGGTCGGTGAGGAGCACCAGCAAACTCACTAGGTATTGAATTGTTGGCAACAGAGAAAATCCAGTGTTTTTTGCTGCATGCAACACCTCCCTCAGAATAAGCAAATCGTGCATAATAATCATAGTAATGAGGTCGTTGTTCACCAAATAACCAAAAACATTTGTACAAATTCGCGTTTCATTCTCTAAGCATTAGTCGAGACGACTGACTGACAATAACTCATCTGAAGAAGCCTCAATCACACTAAAGCTCAGGATACCGATAGTTATACGTATTGCAAAACATGTTTGGAATTTGATCAAAGGCCAATGGCTCGATACCAGGAAAGGCTCCCTGCGGATGGGCAGTGTGGAACCGTCGTTCTGAGGGTGGAGGGAGGGAGGGAGGGGGCATTAGCGGGCGGATGTCAGTATGATGGGATGGAAAGTTCAACTCTGGAAAAGTTTCATGAGACTGTGCCATTTTCCCTGCATGATGCCACACTGCTCGTGAGACGCCCTCCTCCCCCCTGGACCTCACAGGGACTGGGACTGATCGTCATCAGGCAACCTACACCTGCCCCCCCGCCAACCCCGCCCCCTCCGCCACCCCCTCCCCTCCTCCACATCTGCTGCTTTGCAGACGTTCACATTCGCATTTAATAAACTTTGAGCGAAGGCTTTTTTCTCGCCACTTCCTCTATTGTGTTGCAGCCGACGGAGAAGTTAAATGTTGATCTTGATGAAACTTGAGGCCATGTGCTCGTTTGGATGTCACACTACATTCTGTCCACTAGATGGCGTCAGCTCACTGAAATTATGTCAACTACCGATGTAACGTGTGATCCGGGCAGCAAGTTTACCAAGATGTTAGAAAGGCATGAAACTATTTCACATAGTTAAATACACAAGAATACATTTGCATAATGTTTCACTTTTTTATTTGAAAATATGGTCAGATAAATATAGAACTGTAAGTCTTAATTAGTATGTATCAGGATATTTTGTCTTAAAAAAAGCTCCCAAAACTGTGTCCTTAATTTTCTGTTACACACTATAGCAATTGATTAATTATTTTTTATAATTATATTAAAATTGTGTCTTCCCTGACTCTGTAAACGCATTGGCGTAAATATAAAAAAGCACCATGATGAACTTAGTGTTGCTGCGTTTGGACACTAAAACAGTGAAAAGGTCAGTTTGCAGCAAAATAGAGAACTGACATTTTATAAAAAAGGAAGCCAAAAGAAGTGCTTGACAAACAAGTGAACTCCGTAAACATATCAAATTATTAGAGAAAAAGAGGAAAGGAAGTAAGAAACCTTGCGACATCCCTTACGTTCATTTTAAAGTGCGTGTGATTGTTAAGCAACGTCTCATTTACAGCAACAGAAGTGTCAATAAACAGCAAACAAATCCGTGATTTCATATTTTCAAGTATCAGTGCAATTGTGCTTCTTAACTTTGTGAAACAGTTAAATTAACCATCTCTCTCTCTCTCTCTCTTCGTTCCAGTCACGGTTTCTAGAACATACGTGCTTTAGAACCTTTGTTGTGTAGCGTCAACATGTGTGCATGAGAAACACAACAAAGGCTTCTTCTCCTCCTACTGCCAATGGATCCGGTTGTCCTGCTGCTGAAGTCTCTCAAAAACTCCATACGGAATACACTGGTTCCACATCCTGCCACAGACATGGAGATGATATCACAATGAACATGCGATTATAAAAGGAAGCTAGATAATAGCAGGATGTGCTACACACACACACACAGGCTTTGTTTACCTCAGAGTCTTCATTTTTTTACAGTTTCTCAGACTGGCTGCCAAGCTCTGCGCCCCGACGTCCGTCAGCTTGTTGTACTCCAAGCTGCCCAACAAGAGAAGAAACACGTTAAACAGAACAGCCGATCGACACGTGCTTTAAATCTCACTGGCTCATCATGCGATGTGTGTGTGTGTTTGTGTGTTTGTGCGTGGTGAGTGAGGCTTTGGTGACAACACAGATATGCCACATTTTCCTTCTCATTACAAGTTATCCAAGCAGACACACACACACATGTCATGTGCTGTAAGTGCTTCTTACTCCAGGTCGGTGAGCGACGGCGCCTGTGGGAGGACGGCTGCTAAGCTCTCGGCCCCCTCGTCAGAAATCTCATTACTGTTGAGGCTGGAAAGAAATGGAGGGAGGAGAAAGGGAAGTGAAAATGTAGTGGGCTCGATCATGTGCAGCTGTAGGGGTTGTTGTGGGGGACGTGTGTGTGTGTGTGTGTGTGTGTGTGTGTAATATATATACCTTAAGCAGTGCAGTTTGGGTAAATCCTTCAGCGTGATTGCTAGTTTCTTAACACCCTCGTCGCTGATACAGTTCTGTGAGAGACTAAACGCAGGAAGAGGGGATCCAGCAATGTAGAACACTAAATGCTTCACTTTGTTCAGTGACGTGTAGTTTAGTAGCTTTAGTTTTTATCAGCCATGCTGTGTTTTACTCACTCGAGTATCTCCAGAGAACCGAGGTGAACCAAAGCATCGGCCAGTTTCTCTGCTCCTCCGTCCCCGATCTTACTGTTCTCCATACTAGAGGCAGGTGGGGGGGGGGGGTTAGACACCCTGGAACAAGCACATGAACCCACAGAGAGAACTACAAGTGTTGGTGTGTATATTTACTCTAAGTGTTGTAGATTGTGCAGACCGGGCAGGAGCTTCCAAAGCTGCGAAAGAACCGGGGCACATTTCCCCGGCCCGAGCCTGGAAAGACAGTTTAATCATCATCATCATCATCATCATCTTCGTCATCATCGTCAGGCCACATGTCAGAGCTACTCACTCAAACTCCAGCTTGTGAAGCTCTTTGACAGCTGGCACTCCCTCTGACAGGACGGAATCCGATTGGCTGGAACTACAATCAAACGCAACACACACACACACACTTCAGCTGGAAAGACAGACAAGAGTTTGTGTGCTGCAAAGCGTCGCTGGGTGTGTTTCTGTGTGTATGCATGCATGCATGCGTGTGCGTGTGTCTGGCGTGTTACCTGAGCGACAGCCTCCTGCGGGCGTGTAATTGCACCAGCTTGGCCAGGTGCTCCACGTGACACGCGCGCGTGGCTTTCAGAGGGTGGGTCTTGAATTTGGACACAGTCTCTCGCAAGAGGACGTCTTCGCCACTCTGCTCCAGCTGCTCCCATAAGGAGATGACATCAGCGATGCACGCCCTAGGAGACACCCACGGTTTGACACTGAAACATCGGCGGGAAACTGATGAAAGGGTGAATTGGCAAAACATTGAGAACCCCAATTGGTGCGGTGGAACTTTTGCGGTTGTGAATCGTGGTACCTATACGTGCTGATGTTGTTCAGCCCGACTAGAGCTCTGAGGCCCGGAATCTGTATCCCAGAATCCTCCAAGTCCAAACTGAACCTCCTTCCCTCCGTTCCGCCACTTTCGAGAACGTTCCTCACGGCAAACACGTCCGACGGCGAGAGCGGGACTCCGTGGAAGGTCAGGACTTCTGGGAGGTTGGCGGCCAGGTGAGCGACTAACCGCTCGCCGCCGTGCGTGCAACCCGCCTCAAAAACATGGTGGCAAGCCTCCAGGACTCGGGCGGGGCTCAGGTCCCCGTGGGAAAGACCCTGGAGGTGCCCTGTCACCAAAGCCCGCTTGGCGGCCACCACGTCTCCGACGGATTTCTCCGTGGACGAGCGGAGCCTCTGCAGCTCGGCCCGGTCGTGGAACAGGAGCCCGACTGCGAACCGCTGGGTGAGATCGAGCTCCTCCCTCTGAGGCCGCCGACGCTCCTTCTGGCCTGGATGGAAAGGGAGCGTCTGGACGAAGGCTCGGTCCGTCACGGTCCTGAGGAAGGAGAGAGGAAGAGAGAGTCAAGGGAGTCCGGAGCGCTGAAAGTAGAAGAGAAAGGAGGCTGAGGAGGGATGAGATGTTTCATCAACCACCTCGTTTACCCAAATGACTCCAACGGAGATACTGAAGAGGCCCCTTTTCCTCCGATCAAGAAACGTGTACCTTGACAGAGACAGATGAACCGCTGCCAGGTAGCTCTGCAGGAAAGGGTTGGCCCACAACAGGAAGTGCTCCTCGCTTGCACCAGCGTCTTCATCATACGTCCTCCCCTTCTTTCCCCTCTTTTTTCCATTCTTTCGTGTTCCCATTTCTTCTCCGTCCTCTCCTCGCTCGTCACTCGAGACACCCGGCCTCGTCCCGCGGGGGTAGGAGAAGAAGAGCCCCGTCCTTTGGCCGAACGCCTTGAGTTGGGCAGATAGGGCTGTTTCGGGGGACAGAATGGCAGAGTTTGCTTTGACGCCCTTCCAGGCCAGAGAGCTCAGCTGGGAAAGCCACTCTCTCTCAGTTCTGTCCACTTCGCCGCCAACGCTCCTCATTTCCTCCCCGTCGACTCCGTCTTCCCCTTTCTCGCTTTGGGTGCGAGAGCGGGTGTGAACCGGCGCTGTGGGCCGCGTGCTTCTTCGGCGCCTGACGGCCGGAGAACTTGAGATTTGTGTTTGCGGTTTTTCTACGGATCGCCCAGATAGCGATTGAGGTCCGACCTCCGAGAGCGCGCTCCTTCTCTCCTCCTCCAGTTTCAGGCAGAGCACTTGATGACAGAGCCCGGTTAGAGTTCTCGGCAAGTGGCCTAAACCTTTGCAGTGTTCTAACGCCAAGCAGACCAACCGACACAGTCCAGGGTTCCAACAGAGGAGCTGCAGATAGCTGCTGCTTTTTAACAAGCCCAAAGCGGTCGCTCTGAGGTCCGGGTCAGTGAAGTACCGGGATAAACACGTTTCTACGTTGGCGGGGTTGAAGCCGCACACCTCCAAAAGACTGTCGGTCCGCCTCAGCAGCTGGCTGGCGCTGCCCCGCGGCCGCGTGGTCAGCAGCAGGGTGCAGCCCGGGAGGAGGAGCCTCTGAAGGACGGCCGAGTACAACTGTCTCACCGTGAAGGCCGGCGCTTTGCTGTCTTTGTGCAACGACGTTATCAAGTCTTTCTCCTGCGTCTGGAGGAGGATTTCATAGTCCCGCACCTCGTCGAACCCGTCGAATATGACGAGCACGCGCTTAGGGGCCGCGAGGATTTGAGCGTACACCGCCTCGGGGTCCGTGCAAGGAGGGGCCAACGAGGAGAAGTTCAATAGGAGGGTCTGAAGGCTGTGGGACGCTTCCGGTAAAGAGAGCGCCTTGCCGTCTAAAAAGAAGACAAAGTCAAACTCTGGCAAGCAGTTCCTGGACCAGTCGAGGCACAGCTTCCTGACCAGGGTGGTTTTTCCCATGCCGGCGTTGCCGAGTAGCAACACGAAGCGCTTGGGTTTGTCGCCCTTTGAGCCTTTAAACATCTGAGTGGAAAAAGACAAACAGGAATTAAAAGTACTTCTGTAGGACGAATGTCATAAACGAATCCTACGTTTGCTGTGTCCCAAACGGGACACTCTTACCTGAAGGTGCCCCAAAAGGCTTTCTCGTCGATCTGTGTCTCCCGCAATAACCAGGTCCTTCTCCAGGACTTTGTTGGTGTTCTTCCCTGAGTGGAGAATCTCTTTCCGGCTCACCTGCACGTCTACGTACTGAGAGGTCAGACTGAGGCCGGACTCCATATCCTGGCAGGTTTGACTAACGTGCGCTTTGGCTTCCACGATGTAGTCCTTCACGACCTCTGAAAAACAAACAGAACTGCATTTTTGCAGCTGCTCTGTTGTGATGTACATGAGGAAGTTGTTTTCATCAAAGCAGAAGAGGAGCGAGTGGCAACATACGCGGAACATCGAGGGCAGCAGGAGACGGCGGAACGGCCGATTCCTCCGTGTCTGAAATGCAAAAGGCCGATTTGTAACAACTGTACCCAGAACGCTGCACGCGAGGAACGAGACATCAGAGTCACCGGTGCTCACCGCCGCCGGGGGAGGAGGGGGAGGGGCGGGAGGCACGCGTCGGAGAGCCGGCCCTGCTCGCCGCGTCCGACAGGGATCCGGCGGGGGGCGAACTCATTTGGACTGGCGCTACCGCTCCGTCCACTGCAAGCCCAAGAGAAGAAGTGTCATTGACCTAGACGACCACATACACGTGCACATGGCAGATCACAGACTGGTGTACTCACTTGGGGAGAGGGGGGGCACTTCCTGTTTGAAGGGTGGTGAGGCAGCAGGAACTCGCTTTAGAAACAGGGGTAAGGAGTAAGTGCTGGGGGTATAGATGGGGGCGGGGGGGGGTATTACGTTCACATCATAGCTCAAATCTTCTGGAAAGTTTATCCCAGCATGCTGACTGAAGGCAGACCGGCATCCCTCACTGGAAATGACGGCGTCCTTTTCAATTCAACCACCGGCTGCCACCAAAGTTCTAGAATGTTCAAATCCTTTCGTGGGAACGGGGGGGGGCTTTAATTGAATAAAGGAGGACCAAGGACTGAGCCTCGGGAGCCTCCGTAGGCCACTGGATACATAAAGTTATGACAAAATATTCTACATATTTGACCAGTGATTGATGGGACTACACAGTCGACATTGCACATGAATGTATGTGACTAACCGACTCACCCAATATGTAAGTGGGTGCAGCAGCTGTGTTGGGGAGTGGAAGGCTGATAACCGGATGAGAGACTCTCAGGGCCCGCATCATCTGGTAAGCTGCAGCGTCTGGGATGGGGATGAACTGGATGGAGGGATGGAGGTGCAGGATCCTCGGCGGGGGGGCGAAGAGGCCCGCCGTCTCTGCAGAACACGGATGTGACCCTGTGTCAGTGCCAAAGAAACGGGAGTTATAAAAAGCGCCGAACTGATCTGGAGGAAGCAGGCTGAAGTGAGAGTTCTCCTTTTGGTTCATCAACTCCTCATCTAATGACTTCAGAATGATACTGCCTGTTTCTAAAATCCACATCATGCAGAGCCAAATAACCTTTAACCCACGGGTCTAATGCTTCTTCTCCAGCCGCTCAAGATTGGCCTCGGTTCTAAAATGTCACTTCATCAAAGTAGGCCTAATGTTTGATGTTTTATCTGTATGATGAAGCCGTTAAAGGACTATGAATGAGTTGGAAAAGTGGAAAGAGTTTAAATGGGATTTGCTTCCCGTTGACAAAGACTGAGAGTTGTGGCTGTTATTTTGAAAAACAAGCCTAATCCTGGGCCTCCGGTTTATATATGGGTACCCTATGTGCCTTTTATTTTGAAGGGACATTCATATCTTTTGAGCTGTAGTGTGATTTGAATATTGATACACATGGGTGAGTGTGTAATGTCTATCAGCAGGAACATCAGGAACGTACCTCGGGTGACTGGTGGCTCAACCTGCGCCACGACGGTTTCTGGTCGACCTTGAAGAGTTGAAGAGGCAACATCACAACTCGGCCCTCAGCCCAACTAACATCAACCCACCGCAACTTTCCTTAACTACGAAACATCTTAGCATCTTGGCATTTCTGCTAAAGCACACTGTATATATATATACAAAGTGCGTTAGTTGCTGCCACAGTGCAGGTTTAATATTTCACAGCCACGGCGTGAATGCATAACAGACATCAGACGCTGGGGGTCGGTCACCTGCTGCTCTGTGTCTTTTGGGCCGTGACGGTGAGTTCTCATCGGTGCATCGTTGCAACCGGGGTGCTGGAGAGAAGAAATAAAAGCAGAACTAAGTCAACTTTCCAAGCATGCACAGTAGCTTCATCACTTGCAGAATGTTGTGTCTGCAATCCTAAAGTTCGGTTTTCTACGACGGAGGAGGGATCAGCAGGGTTTCCCCACACAGCTCGGGGAGGGTTCTTCTACCTCGGGCTCTTTTTCTCCTGCTGCCTGTGCGGTTGCTTGTTTTATCCGTCTGCTGCTGCTGCTGCGGGACGTCTGGGCCGGCCGGCTCTGTGTGCATGGGAAGAGCACCTGAAGTGTTTGGAAGAGCAAGCAAAAGAATCAGCGACGCACAGTGAACCAGAGCTGGAAAAACAGGGCAGTGAAGCATGTTTCTCAAAACCAGAAAAACCAGAAATAATTAAATGAAATAATTATAGGTGATATGGAATCTGCCCTTCTTTGATGAACACGATCTAAAGAAGGTCTTTCACATTCCTCCTTGGTTCATATTGATTGCTTGTTGGTCGTGAAATGAGGAAACAGAAAGCAGAGCTCCTTACTGCAGGTGCTGAGTTCCTCCTCACACTCCAGCGATGGGTCATTGAAGAGCACATCCGTGTCCAGGTAAGGAACTGTGTGCAGAGGAGCAGACACTCGATCACCCCTCTGTTCATTCATGTGTTCATACGTGTGTGTGTGTGTAAGCCGTATATATATTACACACTGAATGGGAGGGAGGTCTGGTTGCAACCTACCCACAAACTTCCCAAGGTAATCGTCGTTCAGGTATTCAGATAAATCATCTAAAACACAAATAATACGCATTACTGGTCAAAACACTTGGCACAGTTGGCTCTCGGGTCTTTTATTCAGTACTTGAGGTGTGAAATGAGGTCAAAGCAGTAGCTCGACAACTCATGTGGAACGGTTCCAGAGTCCAGACGGGTTTATAAAGCTCCACTAACCTGGTATTTCTCCCAGGTCGGGGCAGATGAACGGGTCCTGATCCACATCCTGCATCCTTACACCTGACGACACACACGCACGCAAAAGGCAATTAGGAAGCGATGATATCGACGCTTAAGAACCGAAAGCGTCACGCGGTGTTGAAGCAGCACTCGATTGAATTACTTCTTAATACATAATAAGTATAATGCAAACATACGCCATCTGAATCACACGGATTGAGATACTGTATTCATTAAGAGAAATGCATCGTTCATCTCAAGATGCAAACTGCCCGAGCTCTCTTACATTTTGGATGATTTACTTTACTTTTTAAAAAACTTTTGGTGACATTTCAAGTTTATCTTTGGGTGAACGTGCACACATTTGCCGTTGGTAGTTCCTTCCCTTCTTTCTCTCTCTCTTCTTTCAGTTGAAGCACGGCGACATGGTGCACGGCGCTGAAGTCAGAATTGAAAGTCAGAAGTGACTTTGTGACAGTTGAAGGTGCCGCCTTACGAGGCGGGTTCGAGGCTCCTCGCGCACGGATCAAGCACCACTAGTAATCACTATCAAACCGTATCAAATGAACTTTGCACACGCAGGCGATGAGACAGAACCACGGCCGGTAGCTCTGAGAGGCCTGTCTTGGTGACTCGTTGAGCCACTTTGAACACAATAAATCTGCTTATTTTTTGCCTGAAAGGCCAAAAAGGGAGTTTCTCTAACTGGCCCCTCGGCGGCCCCCTTGTGTTTTTAAACAAACTCTGAGAACCACTTGACCTTTTCGTTCGGTTTGTGGGTCATTTCACATCGGCCTCAACGCCAGCTGCATGTCCACTGGGCTGCCGTCTCAACTCATTCGGACCAATAAACTCAGACTCCACTCCAGGAAATATACAAAAAAAAAAATAGCGCACGACTTTTCACGTTCCTAAAAGGCGTCGGCTCCAGAAGTCATTGCCAGACTGCCAAACAGTTTGGCAACTATGTGGTTTAACAGGCACTCGGGTTACACGGGCACGGCAGCTTTCGGTTAGAATCACACCCTCGGCACACTGACCCCTGGACACACGCGTGGACTTTCCACTTTAGGAGATTAACTGTGAGCAAACACGTTTTCAATGTGTGCATTTAATGTGTGCAACATTATCACACATCTACGTCTCCGACCAGGCCGAGCATGTCGCGTGCAGCTGCTGTACGGAGGAGGACGACAACACAGCAGGTGCTATTTTTAAAAGCAAACAGCAGCAGACGCCTCGTTGCCTGACAACACACACAAATCGACAAGGAACTTGCCATCTTAAATAAATCAAAGGCAAAAATAAATAAATCGTAATTCGGATTATTCAGTAACGGAGCTTGTGCACATAAACAGTATTTAGAGAGGACCTGTGCGCCCCCCCCCCCCTCCCCTCTGTTCCTGATCCTGCTGTTGCCCTTTGGATGAAGGGGTTACCTGCCTGGTGAGATGCTTCTTTCCTTCTGCAGGAGTAAAACCCTCCGGTCGGCTGTGTCCCTTCTTCTAGTGCTCCACGCATTCTCGGATGAAGCTTCGCGCACAACTTCTCAGTGTGCCAAGTGCGCCATCAATGAGCGGTCTTTTGCTTTCGCTTTGACTTTAGAGCTCTCGGGGAGGGCGGGGGGCTCTCAGTGGAAACCACAGACGGTGTGTAAATAAAAAAGTTTGTGCACCCACAGACAGACACACACACACAGACACACTGACCCAGTTATCTATTACTTTGATTGCTGTTGTCGTCATGTAACTTCCCCCCCATCACTGAGATCACCATCGATAGTACCGCCTCTACCCGTCTTTGCCAATTACTGCAGATAACCGATCTGGCATTAAGTATTTATCCCTGTTTACCTGTCTAAAAGTTTTCCGGCAGAAAAACTGTGTGTGTGTGTGTGTGTGTGTGAACATGCACGTACAAACCCACAAAGGGTCAAATGTGGCGCTCAATCCTTAAAATGGGAAGGTTTGGTCATTGACGGCGAGGTGACCGGAGGAGTGAGGAACCCGAACACAAAGGGAGGCGAGGTGGAGTCTGAGGCTTTATGGTGGGTGTCCATTCTAACTAAGACTCAAGTCTGAATCATCCAACGGATCGGGGCTCGAGCTAAATCAAATCCGAGATCAAATCCCTCTCCGTTCCATGACATCACCGCCAGCTCCAGATGTCTTTGTGTCTTTGGTTGCAGTGTGAAAACACAGCCCTCTTTCCTCCCATGCTCGGTATTTGGGATCAACGCCAACTCAAAAGTGAAAGCGAGGTACAGCGCCGCAGCCTGTTCAGGCAACCGACCCGTTCAAAGCATGAACAAAGCCGGCCTTTCATTTTGTGGCCTTGACTGGAAAGTACCGGAGGGGAAATGAAAAGGGAAAGGCTCTGGTAGGCAAAGGCCCGGCTGGTAGAAGAACTATAGGGGTACAGAACATGACCTGATAGACTGGCTACTCACCCCATTGCGTCTCCACGCTCGCCTCCACCTCGCCATCCTCCTGCGAGTCCTCGGTGCTGCGAGTTGTGGTAAAAAAAAGTTCTGCAAGGCCCGACGGCACGCCGTGACCCGCGCCCGAGGACAAAGGGGGATCGCCGACGTCGGCGTGAGAAAGTAAATGAGCAACGTCTTCGGGGAACCCCGCACCGCATTGCACCTCTCTCATCAGGGAGAGCAGGTCCTCCGCCGCGCCGGCCGTCCGGTCCGCCTCCCACCAGCCGTCCACATCCCCCGGCGGCGCCGCGCGATCCTGGTCCAAAAAGGCCGGCTGCCCGCCGACGTCTGCGGAGAGAGGGAGGCCTCTCATGTCCACCTCCGCGCATCGAAGAAAGGAGTCAGCGTGCGAACGCAGCGTCCTGCAGGCCGTCGCCAGCTCCGTTTCCTCTTCCACGTTGCGATCGGGGCATCGCGCTCCGCCAGCCTGCCAGGCAGGAGTCACACTGGGAACCAGAGGCAGCAACATCCCCGGCCCGCTACCTGCTCCAAGCGCTCTGTCTCCTCCTCAGAATTCCCCCTTCGTCCACATCCACTTTCATTATCACTTTCCTGCTTCTGCATTGAATCGGCACCCTTTCACTATTCCGTGGTGTGATGTGAGGCTGCGATTGGGTCGTCACAGACTGTCGGCGCAGAGGAGAGGTGGTGTTCACCCCACCCAGCCTCCAGGTGTGGCCCAGATGATCTGCTCCCCCACACAACTGCCCAGCAGGGCTCAGATGGTTGATTTACAGTTGATTTAATTTGTTTTTTTCCTCTTTAAAGGGGCGCAATGATTTTTTCAGGAAGCGTCTCATTAAAAGAGGAAGATGTGTGAACTATTTCAGCAATTTGTTTATAGAATAGACGTCAGAAACGTTAGCGGGTGGAGGGTAGATTATGCTTACACGACAAGATTTGTTCCTTTTCAGACTCAATACTTTTATTCATCACCATCTTCCTACATCAACCCTGTTATTTATCAGCCAATTGAACAACGTAGTTTGACACACATCATGTCAGCATATTTACATGGAGTCGAGCTGGTTGGGATGAACACAGCTGCAAGCCTGTACATACAGTATGAACAGCTGGAACAGAGCAAACATCTGTTTTTGTTGCTATACACAAATAATACCGGTTTGCTGGTATGTTAATGTTCTGTTTTTTTAAATGAGTGTCGCCCGCTCGTTAAAGCAAAATCCTGTCAAGCAGCGGAAATGATCCGTTGGTTCTTCCATATCAAAAACAATCCAGTGCACTTTACTGTTTGCATTTGGTTGCCTCTGTATCATGTTTTCTGGATTTTTCAACATGGACTGAAATCCCCGACACGAAGGGAAAGATTTCAGTGTTATTCTTTTAGAACTCAACAGACACCAACCAAACCAATAAGGAAATAAAAGTCGAGCTATGTGGCTGTTTATACCACTAGGATGCAGAAGCAGCTTCACATGTGGTTTCCTGTGAATCTCAGAGGAACTGCCAACATGTACGCCGTATGTACATGTATGTTTGTACGCACACACACACACACACACACACACACAGACACACACACAAGCCGCTGAACTGTGCGGCCGCCACTTATTCTGTCCACATAGTGGAAACCACTACGAGTGGAACATGTGGCCAAGTTCTAATATTAAAGACCAGGTTATCTCTATTCATATTTTTATTAGTAAACAGAACAAAACATATTACAATAAAATAATCCTGCATTAAGAGTCTAGTGACTCGGTTAAAGCAAGTGCATAACACAATACGACGATCTAGTCAAGGATGATATTTACTGTTGTGCTCATTGCTGAATGGTGATTGGTTCCTATATCTGCTTTTGGGACTCTCCGCCTATATGTCTGTTTATTAAATCCTTTAAAGGCAATAAAGTCTGCAATTTCACAACCCATCATTATTAAGCTGCTGTTAGCTACTAGAAATATTTCATTCGCCCCATTATTTTCAGCATTGGTTATTTGTTGGTCGTCGCACCTCCCCGGTCGGTGTTCGGATCCAATATGGCCGCCATAGGAGTTTCTTCAGGTGGTGCTCTGCTCCTCCGTCACACGGTTGGAGCAGTAGTCCTGAATACCTGGAGGAGAGATAAAGACATGACATGACTTTGCTTATCGAGCTTTGTGGGTGTTTTTGTTTTATCAACTAGGAGCTAAATCATCTCCGACACAAACCACGTCCAAATCGTCGACTTTACCCCCCTGCTGTGAGTAGATATTGAATTTGGTTATTTCCCTCTTTTTGTTGACTGCTTCCCATTTGTTAAGCGTTCACTTCTTCTTTTTTTTAACACATTTCAAAAAGTCTATAGTCATCAAAAATAAGAAGCCACTTCGCTGGAATCGAACTTCCTTTCTAGGGAACGTAAGAGATTCTCCAAAAAGACTCGCGGTGTCCCCGTCACACTCACTGTGCACGATGCTCAGGTAGACTTCGGCGGCGGGAGAGTCGGGCACTTCGTGGAGGAAAGACTTCCCCTCGTCGCAGCTCCGGGCGATCCTCGGGTCAAGGGGTACTTTTCCTAACAAGGGCAGGTGGAGATCGGCACACATTCGCTCCGCGCCGCCGCTCGTGGGAGGGAAGATCTGAGAGGTGTTCTGCACGAGAGATCGGGCACGAGGAAAAGCTCAGAGGCACAATACATACAAACAGGCCAGACTCAACAACAAGAGACAAGAATGACCACTGTAACCACGGTAACTAAGGCCGTTAAAAACACAACACTGACAAAAAGGTCTTCCGTTTTTCAGACTAAAAATAAACATTTAAAACAATAAAACAAATATATTCGTTATTTGACCGATATACAGCAAAGACTGACTCCTTCAGCTCCGCTGTGACAAGGACCGATACAGGAGATCATTCCTGCCCAGTGCAATAACACTTTACAATGAATCATCTCTGGCCAAATGACAACAATAACAACCCTGTACTGCTTCTCCTTTTACAAATGATTATTATTGTCTCTTTTTGAAGGTTATTCTTTTGTTTCACTTTAGTTTATTTAATTTAATAATTTAATATTTTCATCTTATTATATTGTATATAATGTGTATGTTTTCATTCTATTTTCTTTCCTGTACATGCTGCTGTGATACCAAAATTTCCCTCTTGAGGGATCAATAAAGTATCAGTCTAATCTATCTATCTATCAAAGACCTAAAATAATCCAAATAAACTATTGGAGCCGGTCTGTGAACGCACCACATGTCACTTCCTGTGGGACGAGGCAGGATGAGGAGCGCAAACGCTTCAAGGCCACTGGCGAGTCCGAGCCCGCCTGCTCCCACCGCTCAGTTAATCTCATCACTGTCACTATGTAGCAGATTCTGTGGCTCTTTTAAACCTCTTCCAAAGACTCACTTTTACATATAGATATATATATGTATATATAAATTTGACGGATTTAATGTTATTCATTATAAACTACTTGATTGTATGTTGTGAAACTCGTGTGCGTATTGTCAAGCACTTTGGAACCCTGTTTTGAAAGGTGCTATATAAATAAAAGCTAGATTTATTATTTTATCTGTATGCCTGACCTTGCACGAAGGACAAACAAAGCCGCTCATGTTCTCGACCACGCCGATGATCGGCATCTTGACCTTCTGGCAGAACCTGATCTCCTTTCGCACGTCCTGCAACGACACCTCCTAGCAAGAGCGAGAGAAGCGGAGAGAAAAGGGTGAAGCAGGAGAGAGGATGAGGAGGAAACAAACACAAAAGCAGCGAACACTGTTTTGCTTTTCCCCCCACAACTAAATAGCGCGGGTTGCTTTAGGAAAAGCAGTCGACAGACTGAAGCTGGGCGGCGGGGGGGGGAAACGACGTGATGTCTTGGAGATAGAGAGCAGGGAGGCTGCCGTATCGAAGGAAACCACCCGTCTCCTTTGTTTTGGTACTTTCCAACCGTGGTTAGTTTTGGTCCTGGAGAATGAGGAAGTGATTCTTCTGCTGTCTGACCTCTTTCGCCCGGTCTAATTTAAGTATCAGGAAGTGTTTGCTCAGATAAAGACTTTCACCGAGCAGCGGTAGTCGTTTGATTTAGCCCGTAAACAAACAGAACAACTAAACACAACAGTGGCTCACGGTCACAAACATGGTGCAGGGACAGGAGATCAAGTGCTGAGGGGGAAAGTTAACTCACAGTTTACAAACCTCCGATACGGCGACACAGAGACCGTGAGAGAAAGCAGCAACTCTGCTCTCTTTATATTGGATGGATGCAAGATGGATTCCTTTACAGAGTCTTTCACTGCTGCAATGGCATCCGACTTAACGCTTAAAAGTGTGTGTTCCTGTCACACAAAGCACCCTGATAATACCCTGCTGTGTGTCAGTGTGTGTGTGTAAAATCAACACGAGGGTTTGATGCTATTCATTTGCCCGTGTGTGTTCCTCAGTACAGTATGCAGCGGCTCGCCATCTTTGCACTGCTTCTATTGTGTTGTGCATAAACCAACCAACCAGTAAACCTGGTGGATTACACCTTTATATGTTGTGTAAAAACAGCATCCTCTGTTGGTTGATGGTATAATACTAGAACCACTTTAATACCGCTGTAGCTGTTAGTGTCCATGTAACTCTCTGGTGGTTGAAGTTGATTCAATCAGGAGGAGTGAAGGAAGAGTGGAGGACGTCTGAGGGTGGAGGCAGCTGTTCATGCGAGTCACTGCCGCCAGTCCTGGGCCGTAAATGTGAGCGCTACCTGTGGTGTGGTGATGATGACCGCTCCGTCAACGTGGGTGGCGCTCAGGTACTGGATGAGCGACAGGTGCTCGTCCGAGGTGCCAGGGGGCGTGTCCACGATGAGGTAATCCAGGTCCCCCCAGTCAACGTCCCTCAAAAACTGCTTGATCATCCCTGATTTCAGACAAACAACGCTGGGGGATTCAGAAGAACGCTTGAGATTTTATACCACACACACACACACACACACACACTACCGTTCTTCTTGGGTCCCCTCCAGATCACAGCATCATCAGGGCTACTGAGCAGGAAGCCAATGGACATGACTGCCAGGTTGTCGTCCACATACTGCAACATTCAACACACAAAAACACACACACAAATATACACACTACTGTTCAAACGTTTGGGGTCACTTAGAAATGTCCTTGCTTTTAAAGATAAGCACTGTTTTTTTTCAATGAAGATAACATTAAATTAATCAGAAATACACTCTATACATTGTTAATGTGGTAAATGACTATTCTAGGTGGAAATGTCTGGTTTCTAATTAAATAAAAGCCTTTCAACGGTAGTGTGTATATATGTATTGTGCACGTTTCTTCAAAGCATGAAAGATTAAAAAGCAGCATGGTTTGAGTTAACTCACCACAGGAGACCAGCCTGAGCCACTCTGGTGAACCTGTAGCAGTAGAGATCACAAGCAAAAGCTCAACACGACCCTCCCACCACCGTAAGTGTGCGTGTGTGTGTGTGTGTGTGTGTGTGTGTGTGTGTGTGTCGCCAGCAGCACTCACCTGTTCTCCCTCCAAGCCCATGATCCTCGGAATGGACGGACCGCAGATATCCACGTCCAGCACGGCGACCTGAAAGCAGAGACACTCTTTCAGCCTC